TGAGTGCTGCAAGGATTGTCGTTCTTCTGATCCTCACTTGTCTTCACAGAAGTCCCTTCAAGACACTCTGGCTGTGACACGTAGGTAGGTGGTCAGGCTTTATTATGGCCGTCAAAACACCTACTTGCTGATATCTGTTGTTACTTTCAACTATGATGTCCCAATATCTCCTCGTATTATTTCTCACTTCAACTGAGCTACCCGCTTTAACTGGATCTTGCAAGAATTTTCAGAATCTGGAATAGCTTGCCAAGAATCTGCCACTGGTTTAACCCTAGAATGATGAATTCACGGAGTCACTTATGCCACCTTTACAGCTTTTGGAGTAGATAAAAGAACAACATAAGGACCTCTCCACTTTGGACCTAATGGAACAATATTCCATTCTTTTATAAACACTTGATCTTCCGGTTGATAGGAATGAACAGGTGGATATATGTTCACAGGTAACCTATCTTGCACCCATTTCTGTACTTCCTCCATAGTTTTACCCAACTCTACAACCTGCTGCTGAGTAATTCCTTCACCCTTAGATTACTGAGTATGGGAGGTGGACGCCCATACACGATTTCAAAGGGAGACAGACCCATTCTTCTGGAAGGAGTACTACGTATCCGCAACAGAGCTATTGGCAAAAGGACATTCCACTTGAGCTGAGTTTCCTGACACATTTTAGCCAATTGGGTTTTTATTGTTCTGTTCATCCTTTCCACCTTTCCAGAACTCTAAGGTCTATATGCTGTATGAAGTTTCCACTTAATACCAAGCACATGAGTCAATTGTTGTAAACACTGATGGATAAAGGCTGGACCGTTGTCTGATCCGATAGAACACAGAAGTCCATATCTGGGTATAACTTCTCGCAACAGAAATCGTACAACTTCTCCTGCCTTTTCTGTACGAGTCGGACAAGCTTCTACCCAACCTGAGTAGGTACACACAGCTACCAACAAGTAACGATATCCCCCAGATTTAGGCATTACAGTGTAGTCTATTTGCAAATCTGACATTGGGAGTCCTCCCATATATTGAACTCCAAGGGGTTTGACAGGGCCTTATCTTGCATTGTTTCGAGCACACAAAACACATCTTCGAACAATAGCTTGAGTAAGATTGGATAATTTTGGTATGTAGAAATGTTTCCTGAGAGATTCTTCCATACTATCTCTTCCTGAATGTGTACCATTATGGAAGTTCTGAACAATTTCTATAGCCAGAGATGTCGGAATAACTATTCTTCCATCTTCTAACTGATACCAATTATTCTCCAAGTATTTCCCAGCTTCAGTCTTCAACCACTCCATCTCTTGGGTTGTATATATCGGAGTCCATTGAGACAGAGGTGCCGGCACAAGGGCAGCAACATACCCCACATATTCCTCTTGCTCGGATTCAGCGGCATGTTTTGCTGCACTATCGGCCTTGCGATTTCCTTTTACTACATCACTATCACCTTTCAGATGTGCCCTGCAATGTATAATACCGACTTCCTTCGGTTCCCATACCGCCTCTAACAGTTGGAGTATTTCTGCTGCATACTTAATTTCTTTCCCTTCTGAATTCAACAATCCCCTTTCTTTATACAATGCTCCATGGGCATGGGTGGTTAGAAAAGCGTATTTCAAATCTGTGTAAATATTCACTCTCAACCCTTCAGCTAATTGCAAGGCCCTTGTTAATGCAATCAGTTCCGTCTTCTGTGCTGATGTCTCTTTCGACAGTGGCCGTGCTTCTATCACCTTGTCTATAGTTGTTACCGCATACCCTGCATAACGTAACTACTACCATCCGTATAATACTGTATATCCGGATTCTGGATGGGGAAATCATGAAGATCAGCCTGCTTGAAAACACTTCATCCATTATCTCCAAACAATCATGTTGACTTTCAGTAGTCTGGGGCAGAAGGGTAGCTGGATTCAAATTATTGACAGTTTTGAGGTGTACTCTTGGATTTTCACATAACATAGCTTGATTTTTGGTCATTCGACTGTTGCTAAACCAATGATTTCCTTTGTAATCAAATAGGGTCTGCACTGCATGGGGTACTCGCACATAGAGTTCCTGACCCAATGTGAGCTTGTCAGCTTCTGCTACCAACAGGGCAGCGGCGGCCACTGCTCGCAGACAAGGTGGAAGACCACTGGCCACTGCATCCAACTGTTTGGACATATAAGCTACATGTCTTTGCCATGATCCCAAATACTTTTAGTTAATACTCCCACAGCCATTCTTCTTTGCTCATGTACGTACAGATAGAAAGGACGCATGTGATCTGGTAGACCTAGGGCTGGGGCACTCATAAGTGGTTTCTTAACATCCTCAAATGCCTTCTGTTGTTCAGAGGTCCACAAAAATGGGTCATATTCTGTGCCTTTCACAGCTTCATATAAAGGTTACGCCAGCATCGCATAATTAGGAATCCATATCCTACAGAATCCTGCTGCTCCTAAGAATTCTCACACTTGTCTTCTATCCTTAGGTATAGATATCCGACACACTGCTTCTTTTCTTTCAGGTCCCAATATTCTTTGACCTTTGGAAATATGGAATCCTAAATATTTAACAGTTGACTGGCACAATTGCGCTTTCTTCCTTGATACCTTGTATCCTACTCTCCATAGAATGTGAAGCAAAACATAAGTTGCTTGTTGGCATATCTCTTTACTAACAGCTGCTATCAAAAGATCATCCACGTATTGAAGCAATACACATTCTCCTGGGATGGAATTGAAATCTTGCAAATCCTGACTTAATGCAGATCCAAGTAGGGTAGGTGAATTCTTAAACCCTTGAGGTAGTCTGGTTTAGGTCATCTGACGCTTTGAACCTGTAACAGCATCTTCCCATTGGAAAGCAAAGATACACTGAATCTCAGCGGCAATCCGAAGGCAAAAGAAAGTATCCTTAAGGTCTAGAACTGTGAAGTAGGTTGCCCCACCTGGTATCAAAGCAAGCAGATTATAAGGGTTGGGTACAACTGGGTGTATATTGACTACTGCATCATTAACTGCTCTCAAATCTTGTACAGGACGATATTCATCTGATCCTGGTTTCTGAACAGGTAATAATGGAGTGTTCCAAGGGGAAGTACAGAATTTTAGGATGCCATACCTTACGAACTTATCCAAGTAGGTCTGTATGTTTTTCTTAGCCTTTTGAGGTATACGATACTGACGTAGCCTCAGAGGATAGGCCCCAAGCTTTAGTTCAATATGTATAGGTGGAATATTACAAGCAAGCCCAGGTGGATTATTCTCTGACCATACTCCTGGAATGTCAAATAAAGGTTCATCACTCTTAGGGTTTACACTTGTCATTATGGAGTAGAAGCGCCATTCTTCTTCCCTTGGCACCGATACAGCCATTATGTCTGGTAATCCATTAAACCTCAGAGACGTTGATCCATTAGGTAGAAAGGTTATCTGGGCTTGAAGCTTCGATAATAGATCTCATCCTAGAAGTTGAATCGGACACTCTGGCATATATAGGAACTGGTGCTTCACCAAATGCCCTCCCAGAATGCAAGTGCGACTTTTAAGAACCAGTCTAGCTGCGCTTCTCCCAGTAGCTCCTATCACAGTCAGGGGCGTTTTAGACGCCAGGCAAACAAGGCATTTGCCTTGGGCGGCATTTTTCAGGGGGCGGCAAAAAACGCCGCCCCCAAATGCCTTGCGGCTAACTGACATGCCGGGCCCTGGGCTGGCGGGCGGCACTGGTTAGGCGGCTTGCGAGGGAGCTCTTCCCCTGAGCGATCTGCTCAGCTCCCTCGCGCGCCGCAAAGTGAGGCCGGGAGCCGGAATATGACGTGCGAGCTGAGCAGACCGCTCAGGGGAAGAGCTCCCTCGCCAGCCGCCTGCCCAGCCCAGCCGGCAACCACTGGACCACCAGGGAGGTAATGAACCCCCCTTCCCCCCCAGCACTCCCAAAGGTAAGGAGGTGGGGGTGGGGGGGTAAATAATTTTTTTTTGTTAATGTGAGTGTGTGTCTGTTAATGTGTGTGTGTTTTGTTAGTGTGTGTGTGTCTGACTGTGTGAGTGTGTGTCTGTTAGTGTGTGTCTGACTGTGTGTCAGTGAGTGTGTGTCTGACTGTGTGTCAGTGAGTGTGTGTTTGCCTGTGAGTGTGTGTGTCTGTTAGTGTGTGTGTGTGTATTTGCCTGTGAGTGTGTCTGTTAATGTGTGTGTGTTTGTTAGTGTGTGTGTGTGTCTGCTAGTGAGTGTGTGTCTGACTGTGTTTGTCTGTTAGTGTGTATGTGTGTGTGTGTCTGACTGTGTTTGCCTGTGAGTGTGTGTGTCAGTGAGTGTGTGTCTGTTAGTGAGTGTGAGTGTGTGTTTCTGTTAGCGAGTGTATGCGTATCTGTCAGTGAATGTATGTGTGTGTGTGTGTGTGTGTATTTAGAAGGCGGGTTGGGGGGGGTTGGCGCGGGGGGGGGGCGCGTCTGAGTTTTGTCCTGCCTAGGGCAGCACAAAACCAGGATACACCACTGATCACAGTTATAGTTTTTCCTGAAGGCAGAGCCACCAGTTTAGTCATCACGGAATGTTCAGCACCAGTGTCAATCATGAAAGAACTTCTCTTTCCCCCTATTGCTACATCGACCATAGGCTCCGCTCGGCCATGGAGCCCGGTCAGTATCAAAAGTCTTCCATGATAGTGTCAGCCAGACCCACAAAATCTCTATCCTCTCTATCTCTTAGTAGGTGGATAATATCTATCTCCTTGAACACTCCCTCTACTATTCCTACCGTTCCCTCCAAAACTTCCTCTTCCTCTATAACTACTACTGTAACCTCCCCGTACTCTTCGCTCTCCTTGTCTATTATTTTCATAATGCTCTCTTTGTGGACACTCATTCTTCCAATGTCCTTCCTCTCTACAAAACGCACATTGATTCCTACTTAAAGGTCCCTTACTCAGCCTATTCTCGACTCCTTTATTCACTTCCCTTCCCTGTCTTTCTACACTTGTGATAGCTACCGCTAGCATATCTGCCTTCTTCCTCATTTTATGTTCTTCCTCCCACTTTATCTCAGTTTCCCTATTCATATACACTTATTTGCGATCTCCATTAGCTGTGATATGGACATCCCTACAAATCCCTCTAACTTTTGCAATTTTCTTTTAATATCACCTTGGGCCTGGCTGACAAATGCTGAGTTAATCATTCGAGAATTCTCAGGGGCCTCTGGATTAAGAGGAGTATACAATCTATATGACTCCAATAATCTTTCATAAAAGGCCCTTAATTGGGGCATGTCAGCACCATTCACATTCCAATTTGTGTCAACATTTGGATAATGGGCTGCAGCCCATGCGTCTGGATTTTGAATATGGGCCGTTTCCTCAAGCGCTTTAATAGCCGCTTGATTAATCCGGGTCCTTTCCTCACAATTAAATAATTTAATAATAATTGCTGGCAATCGGCCCGGGTGGGATTGTTAGTTTGTATAATAGAGGTAACCAAATCTGTCATGACTTGAGGTTTGTCGGTATACAAAGAGTTATGAGTCTTCCAATTAAATAGATCAGTTGTGGTGAAGGGGACATATACAAACACTGGATCTGCCCGTTGTATTTGGCCATTTTCGTCAACGTGTATTGGGCCCGGTGTAAGTCGGAGGGGCATTTGGTAATGTCGGGGTTGAAGGGTACCAGTCATTTGTCGGGTTAATATAGGACTTCGGCGAGGCTGTTTTATAGTAAGTTCCGGTCTAGGGTTAGTAAATTAAGGAGAATGAGGCGGGTTAATTTTACCGGACGGAAGTTCAGTCAACAGGATGTTGCGGGCCGGGCTGGGAAGAGCCTGACCAGGAACCAGAAGTGACGTTAATTCCGGATATATAGAACTAGTGGAGGTAGGTACCGGAAGGGGAGGACTCAGGGCAAGTGGACTGGGCTCTAAACTAGATGAATAAATTGGCAGGGACAATGGGAAAGGGGGAGTGGCAACACCAGCAGCACCTCCTCTAACCTTAGAGGAGGAGAAAGGGGGTGGAAAGGGAAGTTCAGACTCAGAGGGAGAGTCTAAAATGGGTGGGGTTGCGGCCCTGATGGACAGGCGAGTCCTGGCCACCATGAGGGGACATTGCTCCTCATGGCATACCTTAATCCATTTAGGCAATTCTTCCACAATCTGTTTCCAACAATCAATATACGTAAACTGATCATAGAATTCAGGCCTACTAGATACAACCGCGTGCACACGTTGTACTAGAGTTAGATCAAGACTACCACGTGGAGGCCATGCGGTCACCAAGATAGGCCACTCTCTACTACATAATGTAGTCAAACGCTTTGGGGATAATTTCACTCCAAAATCACAAACTTTATATCCCTTTGCAAAGTTTTTCAACATACACAACATGGGATCAACCATCTTTGAGTCAGACGCACCCATACTGGCAACAGAGCGTCTAATACAAAGAAACACAATACCCCAAACACACTTCCAACGATCACACTTGTTTCCCTGGCAACAGCACCACGTGGCACAGTTGCTAGGCCAAACACACACACACAAATTCTCGTACATACAGTGATATCACAACGACTCATTCACAAAGATTTACCAAACACTAGATACTTATCTCTGTAACTATAAATCAAACACTACAATTATCCACATTATAAATCAACTTTTAACTAACCGAGTATATCACATTCTAGTAACCTCATCTTTACAATCAGTGGTTATGGTATGGTTAGCAAGTGATTATAATACAGTTTTAAAGTCACAGATCAGTTAGTAACAGTTATGGTGTTACACATATAACATAAGACAACAGTTTTTAGTAATTTTTACACAACGTCAGTAGTTATAGTACATGTTAATGGTTATAATACCGTGCGCTATTATTCAGTATACACACAATTTACACTCCCACTAGACGGCAGAGCTCAAGCTTTCTAGCAGGACATACAATTCACCAACTACAGTATATTTAACAACATTTACAATAATCCCAACTATTCTAATTGGCCAGCACCTCGAGAACTATCAAACTATTTACACCAGGATTCGGTTAGTCTCCGCTGCCCAAACACCACATATAGCGAACTAGCGGGCGGAATTTACAACAGTACCCATTTAGTCTATCTACTCTATCAATAGTCTAGTGGCTGAATGTACAACCGAGCACACTTAGCCAAGATAGGTTGAGAACTAGCAGACGGAATGTACACCAAAATCTGCTTAGTCTCGCCGGCCTCCCCGACCTAGCGACTGAAATTTACACCTAGACACGCTAGTCAATGTGATCTGAGCCCCATTCAGTAATAATTTGCGCTCAGATCTAAGCTATCTGGGGATATGTTGAATGTACCCGTTTTATGCAATCGCTGCAGAGTTATATATTTTTATGTATTATATTGTATTTTGATACCATGTGGCTAATGGAGTTTTGCCTCTGTCCTTGGAGATAATTGGATTACTTCCCAATTATCTCCAAGATAGAAGACTCTGTGGAACTGGTTTTGGGCAGAAAAACCATGCTTCATTTTGTCAAATAGGACTTTCCCTTAACTTTTTAACCCCTGAACCGATTGCCCTGATTTTTGAGTATGTGTATATTTCAAGCATGCGGATTATGAAAATGTATGTTTTATGTGAATGGCATGTATATTTTGGAAGTTATTAATATTTTGTAAAAACTGTATTTCTCTGCCTGTGATAATTATATTAACCATGGTGTTCAGTAATCATATCACAGGCAGAGGGCAGGATTTTGTGTGGGAGTGTCTGTGTGTATTGTACGGATTGATTTGTTGTATTTCAAAACCCTGTGGGCAGTACTATGTTTGTAGATTGTGAATAAAAGAGGCTGTATGTGCCAGTACAGTCAGTTCTGCTTGAACTCAAAACGAAGTGTCGTCTCGTTATTGGGGGAATTGGATTGTATGCTGATTGCCAGGAGTGTAAGCTGATTGTATGCTTTTCCTGTTCAGCTGCTTACAGCATTCATATGCTTGAGAGCATTCATATGCTTCTCCGGTTCGGTGGTTGTGGTGTCTGCTGCAGTGCTTGGAGTCCTCAGGAAGCGCTAGGAGCATCCTTCAACTGAGGTACCCAGTAGGGGTGCCAGGTGATCCGTTACAGTAAGTCCTTGTTAGAATGTTTAAATTGCGGCAAGAGTTCTTTGCATATTTTCAGAATCATAAATTTAGGTTATCTAATCAATTCATAAACATTTTGTGGTTATCATATCTTGCGTACATGTTCACAAAATTTAATGATGTATGTTTATCAACCCAAGGAAAATTATTTTACAATTTCTAATGCAAAAAAAAAAATTTTTTTCACTGTCTTGTAAGTTACAGTTTTGGACCTCAGCTGTGGAGCAAAATAATTTGAGCACTTCATCAACACTTAAAGGACCATTATAGTGCCAGGAAACATACTCATTATCCTGGCACTATAGTGCCCCTCAGGGTCCCCCTCACGCCGGGCACTAGGGGGTGGAAGGGGTTAAATTGACCTCTTTTTCCAGCGCTGGGCGGAGGACTCTCCTCCTCGTCATCGGCTGAATGCGAAAATCACAGTGAGAAGCGCCGCTAGCGGCGGTCAATAAGACAGCCACTAGAGGCTGGATTAACCCTATTATAAACATAGCAGTTTCTCATAGCAGTTGGGTGGCTATAGTGGTCCTTTAATAATTTTCTTGAAGAAACATAAAATGAACTTGAAAATTAAATTCGCAATGAAATTGTAGATCATTTTTGCAATTTACACACATCTATTAATCAGTATTTTCCATTCTTGAATGAAAAAAGAAAAAATTTTTTTTTACTGGATTCGAAATCCCTTCATACAACACAAACCAGACAATTTTTCCTGGCATAGATTTTGAGAATCTGATCAATATAACTTCTGACAGTCAACTAACCTGAATATTTCAAGAAGTGTCTTTTTTTTTTCCTTTTAGGGGCAAAATATGCAAAGAATACCCAAAATTCTCACAGTGGCCAATCAAATATCTGTTGCCATTTGCCAGCACATACTTATGTGTATTAGATTCTCGCTTTACTCTGCAACAAACACAAAGTTTGAAACTGACTTAATGCAACTGCAGACATGAGAATACAATAGTCAACAATTAAACCAGATATAAAAAGAATTTGCCAAGAAAAGAGAACATTACACTTTGCTCAATAAAAGGTTTGTGCTACTGTGAAAAGATATTTTTTTTTTGGGGGGGGGAGGGTTTATACACTATGTCAAAGGGTTCAGCTGGAAAAGTTAATTGGGAACCACTGCCCTCTCAGTGTTTTCCTATGATTTCTGAGTGAGCAAGCTGGGTGATATGGTCTCTTGTCTTTTTCTCCCCCTATGTCTAGGTGCCAGGCCGGTTATTTCTGGGCTGGATCCTACGGAGGCCGTCACAGGCCATGACCTGGATGGCAGTTGTCTTGAATCTAAATTTGTAGCGAATTTCCTGTATAAGTTTTCGCAGGCAGTTAAGAGCGGATGGGCAGGCCCTGGTTCTCACTCCAAACCTGTGTGTGGTGATTTTGGACTTCTGGGCTGCTTTTCGCACCACTCCTCCGGCTGCTTTGAGGTCTCTAAGCCTTTGTGGCTGCCTTCCTAGCCGCTGGGGCTTTGTCCCTTGCTGGAGTCCCCTTGAGCGGTTTGCCCTAGTGGCCTCTAGGTGGAGGGATAGTCCTGGGACAGGTGATGAGCCCTTCTGACCTGGTATCCCTGCCCTATCATTGTAATCCTACCCCTGTCACTCCTTGTCCTGTATTTGAGATTATCCCTCTAGTGCCACTATTGCTCTGTAGCCTCTGTGGCTGCCAAATCACAGACTTCGCAAAGCAGCTCAATGAAAATTCTTTTGCAAGGCATGTGTTCTGGGCAATTACCCGCTCAAATTTTGGCAGGGGTGGGGGGTTAATTAACAAGGTTCATTTATAAAAGTGTAAAATTGAAAGCAGACAAACCTTGTGTAGTATTGGTTAAACTTATAAGTTATATTTGAATCCACTAAAACCATAATCACACTTGCAGGCCTTAAACCCCTTGGTCCAGCGATGGACGTTTCCTCCACTTTATTATCAAGGGTTCTGCTGATACACTGTTAAACAAGTTCTGTTCTATTCAGCAAATTTGTTGAAATGTGCACTTTTTGTATTAAAAAAAATATTAAATAAAGACTTTACATTCAAAGCACTTTAGCAAGTTAAAATGTGCTTTAGGGTCTGGAGTTCCCCCTTTAAGATGTTGCTTACAGGGTGTTTTAGAGATTCTAGTGTTCTATTACATATTGTTTGTCCCATTACTTATTGTTTGCAATAGTATTGCCTACTATGTGAAACTTATCTGGAATCACTGCTTCAGTCTCCATGGTCCAAAATTAAATACTTCTCATTGAGCTCTCACCGGCAACAAATGGATGGGTATTAGGAAATGTGATCTGCCTACAAGCGTAAGAGCTCATTACATGTCTCCAGCATGCTGATGACAGGCATAGTTTTTTAACAGAGATCTAACATTAGACAACCAGGAACAGAGTCACATGTACTGGGTGTGTACCTAGTTCCAAAAGTGCAGATAACTCAGTATGTGCAGCATTTACAGACAAACAGACACCTTCCTCTTCACTTCTGAAAGCATTAGAAGTCATGGAACTTGAAATAACCTTATAAAAATCAAGAGATCACAGCCCAAACCTCATCAAGCACATACTTTTTATCCTGACTTCAAACCTTTTTTTATTACCCGTCCTATGTTTTAGTTTTAGAATGTACTTTAGCATGACATCAGATCAGGTATATTAAATTAGTGAAAAAATTATGCAAATCTTGCATTAAAGTGTAATTAAAACAATATTTTGAATCCACACACATCTCTCTTGAATTAAGTCACATAAACACCATACTGAATGAAATAGAAAGTCAAAATGGGGTTAAAGGGTGTTCGATAAAACAGGAGTGTTATCTGTCATTTTATTATTCCCCCTAAACATCAAAAAGCTTTAAAAATGTCTTATGCTGCTTTGGCAACCAAGAGATTCAGCCATCATTGATCCCAAGTTATATGATGTGACTACAGACTAAAATGTATATGGCTCTGAGAAACTAAAAACAGGGCAAACTACATATTTAATCCTTTGCATGGCATAGAACTTTATATTTACTGGGATATCGTTCATTGTTGTATATCTAGTTCTGATAGAATTACACATATCAGAAAAGGTAAACAGTATCCTAAAAATTAAGGCAAAATTATTTTGCAGAAAATAAGTGCACTGATATTACTCAAGTCTAAACTATATGTGCAATTACTAAACTTTATAAAATAAACTGCTGCATCTTTTAGTCAACTTCTTTCCCCACAAAAAAAGTTCCTTTGCATCAACAAATCACATTTTCACACTCATTTTTGTTAATGTATAATTACACATTGGAACAAAATGATTACCATTAGTATTCAAATAAAAAAATACAGCTATAAAACACGTTATCTTGTGTAATTAATCCATGTAGTTTAGATATTTAATTTGTATATCAAATGATTAGATTCATGATATATATATATATATATATATATATATATATATATATATATATTTTTTTTTTTTTTTTTTTTTAAATATATTTTAAACTTAGGACACATTAGTGTTCAAACATTTTGACAAATTGACTCCTGTTTCACAGCGCACTTACTTTGAGGAGCATGGCTAACAAAAGGAAGATTGGGAAAAGAATAAACAGTGAAAATAATCAGTTCCACGCAAGTAATAATGTAAGAGGCCTTTTAACATGGGGTAAATATGTTTTGTAAGTTATTCATACAGATTACCTAGACATATCCCCGATAAAAAAGGGGCATACATGAATGAACACAGTTCTACCACAACTCCACTTAAGTGTTGGTTATAAAGCTGATATTTTAAGGCCACTTTTTAATTGGCTTTCTTCAAAACTAAACCCTGTTTTAGAAAACATTGTTTTTCCCCAAATTCAGCGGGATATTTATGACATAATTGTAAAGATATGGTTGACAAGATTTTAGGATGTGTCAATGGGAGGGGTGTTAAGAACTCATCTGGACAGAGGGCTTCTCTCAAATGCGTCTGGGTTGAACCACTTCGATACTCTGTTCAGCCTAAGGTTCAGGTCAATATTTTACCATTCCAAATACATCACTGGACTTTTGGGGAGTCCAGTTAGCATCTAGTAAAGCCTATACATGTACAATCATACACATTGTTTATAATGGAATATATCATTATATGGTCCATTAAGTCCATGATGGAAGTGCAAAGTCCTTCTGCTTGGTTGGGAAGATATCTCAACAGAAATGCTGTCCTTCAAAAACCAAAAGGTCTATTTCTCCACCGATACTAAGAGAATCCGCCCAGCGTCAACACATCGAAGCAAATGTTACAAACTCGTACTGGTTTGTTCAGGTCAAATTTTATAATGGGAATCTCCTTGGTTGAGCATTTATAACATAGCAGACGTCCACAATGTCGGCTGCAAGAAAACATAAAAAGAAAAAGGTAAGCATTAAAAGTACTATTTTATTCTTTCGAACATTAAATATAAAATAATGAACTATAAATCTTGTATTCTTATCCTCACTTTAAAAACAACTATTTTGTATTGAATGAAAAAATTCTTCACATTTCACAAATAGGTTTTAAATGCACATTATCAAAAATATATGTTTTGGGGGGCTTGGAGATTTCATCTTACCAGTGATGCTTTCTGGTGGTGACCCCAAACTTGGCTGTGCATTCATAACAGTTTGATCCATCACACCAGGGTGGCTCTTGTGAAAGCATGTCTAAAAATAAAGGCAGAACAAATCAGTTGGCTGTTTTGAGTTTTTTTTTTTTTTGCTCACATAACTTCATGTAAATAGAAACAAAGAACAAATGCCATACTATTTACTCCCTAATGTAACAAAAACATTTTTGTATTTGACAATTTGTAGCAAGAATGACCCACTCCCACAACAAAAAACAAAACACAATGACAATTACATGACAGCAAGGACCAGTGCAGTAACTGCCAGTATTTATCCAACTGCTTTTGCTTACCTAGAAGTCTAAATAGAAGTTGCTTTGTAGCAACTTGATAGTTAAATATATTAACTCCTTGGTTGTTGTTTACTCCAAGCCTGGCACCAGCTTTCACAATGGCTCGGCAAAGATTGGCATTTCCTTTCATATAGGCCAGGAGGAGTACTAAAAAAAAAACAAACAAAAAAAAAAAAAACAACATATATAGTCTCCATTTTAAAGTGTCACACACAACTTCTAATATAGACAATGTTAGTAAGAAAGTGAGCAATTATTTCTAAATACACCAACAAATACATGCTAAAACAATTGTCTGTTATCCTGGTGTACAAAAAGAGGTGAAAGAGAGAATGCCACATTTCATGTTTTATTAATCAGTTTCCTTGAAATTCCTAGACATTAACACAAGAAAAACACAATGTTTTGGCAAGTTCTATTAATTTAACAGTGAAACTAAATGTTAAACATGAACACTTTCTTTTAACAACTGTGGTACTACTTGCCTGTATTTCCTTCTGTGTCAGGTTTATCAAGTGGGTACTCTGGCATACATTCTAGGAAAAGTTCAAATATGGCAGCTGCATTTTCTTTTCCATATTGTCCCAAAATATGCATTGGAGACTGGCCTCTGTAACATTAAACCACATATTAAGGGTTATAAATAATGCCGATTATTTATAAAGAATAGACAATCCAGTATTGGTCATTTCAAAATGAAACGGAAGGGCACCCAGACATGTCTGATAGGATTTATATCAGTAGTGAATCCTATGATTGGATCAATAGCTAGTCAATTTTGCCACTGTACAATGAACAAGACAATTGTTTTGACATTTATGGACCTAGGCAGTGTGGTGTGGCACTGTAAGCAAGGTATCCACTATAGTACTCTTAAGACGTAAAGGGTTACTTCAATTAAAACACTATTTTGGTTGAAGTAAGCCTTGCTAGCATGCTCTCCTCCGAGTGTTTACACACACACACAAAAAAAAAAAAAATTAAACTTACCTTAGACCCCACTGTAAAGCCAAGTTCTCCTAGCAGACTGATCATCCTCCAGTGACTTAATTCCCCCTTACTGCATGGCATGTACTTGGCCATGGGACGTCTGTCGCCAGCATGCTATGTGTGCTGACAACAAATGCCAAATATGCACAAAATTAACATTAGTCTCTCGTTTTGGGCTGGCTAATGTGGCTGCCAGTGGTAACAACTCCAGCAAAGTTATTTAACTCTGCATGTGCAGCAGTTCAGAGTGAAATGCTGCACATACAGACTACAAATACCATCACCACTTCAAATCACTGAAGTGGTTGTGTTGCTTGAAGTAACACTTTAAGGGAAACTAACAATTTACACATAAGCCATTGCAGAATTTATGGGAAAACAGAGCACAAAGCAGTGGAAAAAACATAATTTAAAGGGACAGCTTAAGGTCGTTGTTCTGGAGAGTATAATAATTACCTGCAGGCAGTGTTTACATTGCCCCCTAGGGACACCTCCAGATGACCACTGGAGGTGCTTTCTGGGGAAGGTGCTGCACAGCCATTCAGCGTCTCAATGCTGAGAACATTTCCTAATAGAGATGCACCGATTCAATGTATCTCTACGACGAGGTGCTGATTATCCCCACCCCCGTTCTGCCTCCTTGCCGATTTTAGCCAATCCAATGCTTTCTGGGTTGGCTGAAATCTCGGCAAGGAGACGGACCAGGGGCAGGGAAAGTGCAGACGGACCAGTGCAGTGCTGGAAATAAGGTAAGGGGGAGGGCAAGCCACCAAAATGGTAGTTTTAACACTGTAGGGTCAGAAATACATGTTTGTGTTCCTTTAAATTAAACCCAGCCATCATAAAAATACATCATCATACACTCTGGCTGTACATATATTATGCCTGGAATGTTTTATGGCAAGTAACAAATATAATACAAATGCTAACATTTAAAATACTCAAATGGATTTTGTAATTCAACAAAAAATATTTTAATGAATTCAAATCGTTACATAATGACCTGACTATTGTTACCTTAAGTTAAGTGCTTCAGCATCCACATTGCATTCTGTTAAAAGACAGCGGATATTGTTCAAACGGCCATGCATCACTGCAAGATGGAGCGCTATAAAAGAACATAAAAGGAATACTATTAAAAAGCTCACACATAATTCATAAAAAGGTAGACAGTTATCGCCTTAAACTTGGTAGGTCTCTCTCAGTGTATACTGCATTGCTAATATATTATCAATGAGCTGCGACTTCATGACATATCAGACTCTGTGGAGGTACTTGCATGTTGCTGTCCTCCTAGCCTCTTCCCCATGGTTCCTATGTGCCTTCTGGCACTTGAACCCTTCAATCCTGATCATCATCTCTCTCTGTTTGTTTGTTTTTTCTTTATTTTTGCTTGCATATGATTTACAGACATTCTGTCAATGCCCCAATAGCAGTGACAAACAAGCAATTAGACAAAGCATAACATTTATATGGCATTTGAGTATGCAGCACATTTATTTTTTTATAGTATGGTTTAGAGTCCAGGTGAAACCGATCATGTCTAGGCTATATAGTAAGAGGGAAATGTTGAGTTATGCTGTATCAGACATGGTGAGTATGGGTGTAAAATAGATCGTGAAACATGCTAATGTTGGGAAGACAAGGTGACTGACACAAGGATAACAGAGTAGTGACATTAGGGGATAACAGTGGGATTTTTATCCCTATTGTGTGGGAGGTGGAGGATAAGAGGCTTGCATCTGCTAAGGCATTGCTTGGAGTCGGGTGGCTCATCCTACCCCGTAACTATGCTGGTGGCTTAAATTCTGCAAGGTAGCCACCCACCAACCCCAGTCTTTACCCCCCACACCCTCAGGTCATTTAAATCATAAGTCCCGTGTCGGGTCGTTGGTACAGCTCGGGGATTCTTGGTGAGTCTGCTGACCCGCTGAGTGTTGTGCTCCCTAGGGTGAGAGGAGACTTGAGGGGTCTGTCGCGGAGTAGGCCGCAGCCTGGAGCGAGGGCAGTAAGCAGTCGTGCCAAATCTCCCAGGCTGGTGCGCTCGTCAGGGTGCTCGACTGAGCTTCCTCACTTTTGGAGCCGCGTCCGTGTCCAGTTCAGAAGGTGTGGAGTGGTGCGCGATCACTTGCGACTTGATCGGTCTTCGCAGTCGCACTCTGGGTGTCTTGTTTTCCCACCATGTAGGTGGACAGCGGTATGGCGTTGCTTGTGTGGGCAAGGTGGTTTGTCTTGTGGGTGTCTATTGTGGGTGCACAACCTACTGTGATGGTGAGGGTGCTATCAGCTGCTCAGAGGTGGTGTGATGCCTTCTCTGCTCCAGGGCCCGCCAGAATTTGTCAAAGATTCTTTTGAGTCTGGTCGTTAGGTCGCTTTGTCCATTGACAGGGTCGTGGTGCCACGTGGCGTCCGCCATGCTAGGTGGCTCACTTGATTTCCCTGCGGACTCTGTGGTCTCTCCCCCCGTGCCCAGTAGTGCAGGCGATCCTCCCAGGGGTGGCATCTTCTCTCTTTTTGCTATCACTTATTAAAATTCTTCTAGTGCAAACAACATACCAATGCCTTTGCTGTACTAGTTAGGGGGATCAGTGAGTCTATAATCCCCACTCACTCTTGGCATACAGCTTGATGTTGTTCATGTAGAGTAGGTGGATGATGGTAGCTCCATTGTTGCACTTGTATCGGTATCCACTGAGGCCTATGCAGAACAGCATCAGGGATAGCATATCAGCTTCAAATATGCCACTTTTGATATTTATTTGCATAACTGTCCTGGAATTGGCTTCCAGTGATGTTCTTCAGTTGCCTATTGAGTTCTTGATGGTTCTTAGTGTCTAGTTGACCTTGTACAGAGCTAAGCATTCCATTATCCATGTGTGTGGAACAATCTTGTAGTCAATCGAGGCTGTGAACAGATAAGTCTGGATCTGCTCTTTGAATCTTGTATAACTGCTTGATGGTGTTTCGAGCTTCTGGTGTGGTTTCCATCCCCTTCTGAGTATTGCTCATGTATTGAATCATAAGACCTTTGATCATGTAGGCTATGATGTCAGGAAGCAGGTGAGATGGTGTGATTCCCTTCATGACCAATATTGTTGTGCCTTGTATAAGCCAGTTCTTGTGGGAGCCTATTGCTACTAGTTAGTTATTTGAGCGGATAGGTGTTCATCCAGAGCTGTTTTTAATTTTTTTTATCATGTCCTGATCAACTTTCCTTGTTTGCTACTTATTGATGATGAGCGGTTTCTGTTCTGGGAGCATGCAGTGGTCTGCTTTCAGGTCTAGTAGCCACTGCAGGCTTTGTGTTCTGTGCTTTTTCTTGAGACAGACAGAGACACACACACACACACACACACACACACAAAATCTGAATTGGAAAAGGACATGAAATAGAATTTGCATTTCTCCACTACACTTATACATTTAGAATGCTAGTATTGTAAAGCGGTTTTAGAATCAGAAGTGGTCAGACAATTTGACAGGTTTAATTTACAGAAAGCCATGCTGATGGAATATGCTGATGCTTGAAATATATATATATAATATTCTGTGTCTTGACTCAGTTTTCATCTGATGGGGAAAGGTTTAAAAATATCAGGAAGTATTACTTTACTGAGACGGTAGTGGATGCATGGAATAGCCTTCCAGCTGAAGTGGTAGAGATTAACACAGTGAGGGAGTTTAAGCATGCATGGGATAGGCATAAGGCTGTCCTATCTATAAGATAAGGCCAGGGACTAAAAAAAGTATATAGAAAATTGGGCAGACTAGATAGGCCGAATGGTTCTTATCTGCTGTCACATTCTATGTTTCTATGTGCTATGACATTCTCTGGTGATCCACTAATTATCCCCACTCCTTACAGTGACAATGATGCTACTTTAAAGGGACTAAAACATATTTTTCTTTTTTTGTTTCAATCTACAAATTGTGCTAGCTAAATGACAGGTGTATAGTAAAATATATAAATTCATCTAAATAGGAAAAAAAAAACAACCTTCTGGACAAGTTTGGATATACCTACTGCTGTTTTGTTCTAAATATGTAGAAGAGTAGGAAAAGTAGGTGCAGCTACCAGATATATATGTCATCTTTTCATTAAACACCTGCAATGACTGCCCCAACAAAGCTTACCATTATTTCCATTCTCATCTGCAGCCCCAAAATCTACTCCATTCTCCAATAAGACTGAACATATGGTGGGCATGTCCTGTTGGGCGGCCAAGTGAAGGGCAGTCTGTCGATGTTTTGTTAATTCATTCACCTTAGCACCTGCAAGAAGCTGGCAGAACAGATCATCCCTTGAGAAAACTGTATTTACTTACAACAACATTAATGAACATGTTAAATGAATGTGTGAAACAAGATGACAAAGTTAATAAGCAGTGGGATTGAGCGCTAGTGGCAAAGCCTATTTGCACATTTCTTTGTATTTATGCTTTACACTGTGTGGGTGTGTTTTTATTCTTTCCCCTTTGTTTTGAATAAATAGATTTGTAGCACTATAATATTGCTCTTGGTTTCCCTTTATGAGAATATCCATGCATTGGAAGAAGAAAAAAAGTCCATATGTTATGTGTTGCAAATAGTCTTATATTCACTATTGTTTTGCACAAATGATTGTCTGGCATCCTCGTTGAATCTAGTGTGGTCTATAAACGCTTTTCTTTTGACAAAGTTAATATATTAAGTGAATTTCTGCATGTGAAATGAAAGCAAGCTATACATACCAGGTTGCGCACAATAATCTCTGATCCTGCCTGTACAGCCAAGTGTAAAGGGGTTAACTTCGAGGCATCTTGGACTCTGGAGTTTACATTAGCCTGTACACTGATCAGGAACAGCACACTCTCAATGTCGGAATTCTGAACAGCTACGTGTAGGAAGTTCCTCCCCTTATTATCCACCTAAATAATGGGGAGGGGGGAGCAATCACTATTAAACACAAGTTAAACATGCAAGATGCCTCATTATAAAAAAACAAACAAGTTTTACAAATTAGTATAGTTCTCCAAGTTGGTGCAGGTAGAAGATGGTATATATATGGACACTGTAATTAAAGGGATGCACTAGGTACCTGCTTGTAAGCGATATGTAAATTAGGAAAGCTTTGTTTTATATTCTACAAGCTTTTTTTTGCATTTTCTAATGAATTCTTAGAAAAACATCTACCTTCTTTGGGCAGAATCAATACACAAATAAATATTGAGATAAAATTCTTCAATAATTGCCACCATCTAGGAAGAGGATGATATGTAATTATTTTATTTCTTTTAAATGGCACGCTTTGGAAAAGTCCATACCTGCTCAGCTGCTCCAGGTTCTCGTTTCAGGATTGATTCTGCAGCTTTGTTATTTTTAAATGTCATGGCACATGCGAAGGGGGTCATGCCTTGCCTGTCACGTACATTCAGTTTGATGTCAGGATGAGAAATCATTAGTTGAATAATCACGCTGTGCTGGTTAATGATGGCAATGTGGAGTGGCGTTCTTCCCTCAGCATCCTATGGTGATCAGACAAGACATATTGCATACATGTTACGTTTATCTAGCTAAACATACAGACACACAAAAAACAAACAAACAAAAAAAACAGTGTTTTTCTAAATGCAGTTTTTACATAGTGTGGCTGAAGAGGACTTTACTAATGAAATATAGCTAAATTTGATACTATTTTGTGGATAAACATGCCGTGGGGGGCGTGGCTTGGAGGCCAAGGAAGATGGCGGCGTAAACCCGGAGCTCCCCAACAGGCTCAGCTAAAATCCTCATCACGGCACCTAAAAAACAGGCAAACATGGGCAAAACCCACCGGCATCGCATATAACCAAGCCAACTGACATGCCGAAGTGCACAGCAATTCCTAGTGACTCCCACAGACACGGCCGCGCGGGCCTCCACCACCTCGGAGATTGCTGACATTTCCCACCCAGCGTCGCCACGAGGCGGCCGCCAAGCGATGCATGGCCCAGACCTCCCCGGACCCCCAACCAGACTGGGTACAGTTGATCCGGGAACTCCCAACCAGGCAAGACCTGAAGGAGACTAACTCGGAGCTACGGGCTACGGGCTTCCATCACAGCGGAACTACATTCCCTTCGGGAAGACATACAGGGCCTACATACCAAAGTATTTCAACTGGAAGCAGACTGTGACCACTTGTCCTCCGCCCAGCCTGCAAACACCGACGCAATCTACCACCACACAACACAAATGAGACAAATGGCCCTACACATGGAGGACCTGGACAACCGAGGCAGGCGCAAAAACATCAGGGTGCGCGGCATCCCAGAAGACCTAGATCAACCCACACCGATAACAGATACCCTCAGAGAAATGTTCAACAAGATCCTGGGCCGCCCAACGGCCACCGACATCGAGTTTGTCAGAGCACACCGTGCACTGAGACCAAGGGGTCCACCGGAGGCTCCCCCAAGGGACACTGTCTGTTGCCTGGCTAGTTTCCGACTAAAGGAAGAGATCCTTCAGAAAGCACGAGGCACAGAAAGGGTAACGCTGAATGGAGTGGAAATACAACTGTATCCTGATCTCTCACCAGCTACCCTGGCATACCAACGGGCAATGAGGCCCCTCACGAGAATCCTCCAAACCAACAAAAATCAGGTATCGGTGGACCTTCCAGACCCGGCTCCAGGCCATCACAACAAAAGGACCTTTTCACAGTCCGACACCCGGAGGACCTGAGCGATCTCGTAACAGAACTACAACTCCCACCCATCAACAAGACATGGCCGGACCTCTTACCTTCTACATGGCACCTCCGTTGGACCAGGGGCTCCCGCCACAGCCGCACAGAGGCATAGGGACCCGACAACAAGCCACCCGGCAGCATAAGAGACTAATGTTAGCAGCTGTAGCACATAACCGCAAGTACCATCAATCGGGACTCTCTCTCCAATAGGGGTACCAGCCCCCTTATGGAATTTTGGGGATCAGGACCACTAACATACACCACAACAGGCGAAGAGAAGGGGGGAGGGTGAGAACGGGAGGGGGTCCACCTGGCTACCATAATCAGAGGGGGGAGGAATTGGACACACACACACAAAAGAGGCACGCAAGCAGACTCAAAATAAATAACAAAAGGGGAAGATATCACAGGCAGACAGCAGTGGTAGCCAACTGCCCAGCTAGACACTACTATGATGCACTTAAGTGTATTGATACTATACAGGAACAAGCTTTTACCAGTGGGGCTGCTGCACCTCCCCCTCCCTACTAGCCGGATTGCAGCTTAATGTTTGGAAGGATTTGTTTAATTGCTTAACTGTTCTGTTATAAAAAATTTCTATGCATTTGCACACGACAGGCACCTGAGACGGCAATGTGACCTACGACCCGGAGCCCAACAATTATGAGCTCCACTGATGAGGATCTTAATAATGACCCGAACCCAACAGACAGAGCCGACAGGGGACCTACACGGACCTGACGGACCGAGACACTTAACAAAGGTACACACCTAACAAAGGTACACACCAACCACCGACACGGGGAGGACTGGTACCACCCGGAGTCCCTTGGCTTCCTTCTACAGCCCTATAGGGCACAGCGACCTAAGAAAGGTGAGTAGAAACCGTGGACCACAGGTGGCCGCGGGCTTAATCGCTCCCCGTCGCTGAAACCTCACCGTCACTTTATAGTGACGAGAACACATACACACACACACACACACACACATCCCATAACCCCCAACACCCCCCACCCTATAACCCCCACCCGACCTACAACCAACAGACCCATACACCCTACGAACCCCAAACCAGACCGAGACTTGTAGAATGAATGCCACGGCCACCCCCACACATGGACAAAAGGGCATTAGTGCTGGACTGCCTCACTGTCCTCTCCATAAACGCCAGAGGCCTCAACAAACCTCAGGAGCGCTGAGAGACTTCCACGCCAAACGAGCCTCGATAGTCTTAATCCAAGAGACACACTTTAAGGCCCAAAATTACTAACCATCACTACCCGACGGGATATTATAGCGACTACCATCCTAGTTAACAAAAAGATACCCTTTGTAGAAACTGGACAGATGACGGACAGGGAGGGTAGATTCCTTTTCCTCAAAGGCACAATTGCAGGACAGGTCTATACATTCGCTAACATCTACGCCCCGAACAACCGACAATACAGATTCCTGGCACACACACTTAAGAAACTACAGCCCTTCACGGAGGGAATCCTCATTGTGGGGGGAGACCTTAACATAGCACTCAATCCACAGTGGGACACCTCCTCCGGACACTCGTGGGTCCAGACACAAAACCTGAACTCAATCAAAACCCTTCTGACTCGCCACAAACTGATCGACTGCTGGAGGGCCTACCACCCGGATGAGAAGGACTATACTTTCTCACACTCACACAACACTATCATCTACCAATAACACGCGATGCAGAGCACGGTGTGGCGACATGGTCAGACCACGTGCCGGTACTCCTGACACTCTCGTCCCCCCTATACAAACCCCGGTTCAACAAATGGAGACTAAATGAATATCTCCTAACCAGACCCGACTTAACAACCGATATAAAGTAAGCGCTCAAAGATTACTTTGAGACGAACACTGCCGAACAGACCTCGACGACCATTAGATGGGAGGCCCACAAAAGCGTGATTCGCGGCCACTTCATCCACCAGGGCACCACCCTTAAAAAGCAGACCGACAGTTGCCTGACAGAACTAGTGACGGAAATACAAAGGGTAGAAGCACTTAACAAAAACACACAACATGCAACGCACCTGTCCCTGTCCCTGTCCACAAAAGCTTAGATGCCAAATGTTACCTATCTAAACTATAAAATAAATATGCTGCACCGTAAATCAGTAAATGACACAATAATGAACATACCTGGGTATTCACATTGGCACCAAATTCCAAAAGGCACTGTACCACCTCTTCCAAACCCCAAGAAGAAGCCAGATGCAGGGGTGTCTGTCCATCCCGGGCCTCCTCTTCTCCTTCTCCATTAGGTCCTGGTTTTCTAGCACTGTTCACATCACACCCACTGAAATAGAGATAATAATGTTAAAAAATACACACACTCACGCGCTTTCGCCTCACTAACTGCACAAAGAGAGAAAGCTAAAATGAAAGTATGTATTGAGAGTCAGGCAATGACTAATATTAGTTAAAATATTAATCAATAATCTCAACTTGTTTGCAATATACGCTATACTACAGAGTTAAAGTCTGCAGTTCAAAGTAATAAATCAAACCGGAAAGCTACGGATAGAACTTTGTCAGACATCTTTAAGTGTCCCCCAATTACTAGTTTCTCAAGAGGAAAAAGCATGTACGATTTGGTGGTGTTAACAGATCCATAAAAACAGGCTGCTATCGTTGTTGCGGCTGTTTTACGTCTGGCCATTTGATCCAAACCCAACATTTCATGCATCCACTTACGAAACGACAATTTCACATCAATCATTATATACCATTATATACTAGCCAGGCCCATGGAAAAAAATATTACTTTTTAAATTGGTTACATGTGATTTAATACTTCCCCTCCGCCCCCTCCCCCCCACTTCATTTCATTTTTCTTCACTACGACTTTAACCCCATGTGTTCCGGTCAGTTCCTCTGATATTGCCACTTTGTCCAGATTACAAAACAAGAACCCAAAACTCTAATTTTAGGTATTAAATTTGATTCTATTAATTCAATAAAATGACTCTTACAGGGGGACTCTACGCACTATAACACTAAGGTGTTTGGGTTGGGGGGAGGTTTCCTAAAAAAAAAAAAAAAATACAAAACCTGTCTTGTCCTGAGTTGCATTGATAACGCAGAGTTTATACTTCTGCATTATCAATGTTAATTCTGGCCAATTTGGACAGCAGTGTAATAAGTGTCATAAGCCAACACTAATAGCTAATGTTCAAGGCTTCAGGGATCTAGTGGCAATGGTCATTGTCACACTCCTAAAACATAAAATTTAAAATACCTGCAACTCCCCAAAACAAACAACTGAACACATTTTTAAAAAAACAGGTCGATGTAACACTGGAACTTCCATAGAGTATGAGGAACTAATTAGGATTTCTTAACAATAGATTTCCAAAAAAAATTTTTGGTGCATTGCTTTAATAATATAATTAATTGTGTACTTATTCATGTGTCAGACTTTATGATTAATTTACAATCAAATGACAACGATTTACAGTGGGAAAATTTATAAGTAAGAATTTAAATTTGGTTAATCAGTTTACCTGTGGCATATTAAAGCAAGACATAACTAATCTTATGCACATTATTTCATTGTAGGGTTATATTGTAATCTTTAGAAATGTCAAACAAGAAGGAAACTATTTTATTGCCTAACCTGCGAATAAGAAAACATGCGGTCTGTTCTTTGTTTTCATCAATAGCTCGATGAAGAAGGGTCTGTAGACATCCGCTTGGTCCTGTTCCCCAAAATGTGGCATCACACCCATGTCTCACCTAAAGGAATAAAATTGTACAATATGGAACATTTGCTTACATAGACAAGTGTCCTCCAAAACTAGTGATCTAAAGCTGCACACCCAAGTTGTAATATTAAGTCTGTAAATTATGACCCATGTACCCTGAGAATATCAACTACTGTCTGCTATTTCCTTCTAGAACTCTCATCAGTACATTAGGTATTGTCCCCATTCGGCAGCGGTCTTCATTTTCCCATGACATAATGGTGACATTTCCATAATGGGTCAACACAAAATGTGGAGTTAACAGCCAAATGCCAAGACAATTTGGCAGATAACAGTCTCTTCTAATCTAGCCTCCACACTACATTGCAGTAGATAGCACTAATTGTTTTTACCTTGCCAAACTATACATGCATGCAATCCTCACTTTCTTACCAGACGCCTGAGGAAAAGAAAAATAATTTTACTTTTCATAAAAGTATTTTTCTCTAGCATCAGTATAGTAGTACTCATGAATGGATTTTTTCATATGTTAGGTAGGAAGACCACTAAACACATATGAATATCAAAGCCTAGCCCCACCTCTCATCTTTCCCTTGGCATAATATTAGGGATTTCTCCAAATATCGCTAGTATGAATTAAGGACCAGGACACCACCATTTTCAAAAGGGAATAGGGGTTAAAACCAGTCCTGCTGCTAATAATAGGGGTAAAGAAATTCCCTCTAAGCTTTTTATGTCCTATATACAACAGGTGTGCACATTACTGGAATATATACTATCATCAAAAAAAGGAATTATTAAAATGCTGTTTGAACAGGGGATTGTAACTGGGTTTATACATTTGTCAGAGAAATATCTAGGGAATATTTAGATTTGTATATTACCTAAATTCATTTGTTATTTTGATTTTCACTCATTTATACTTCTATGTAGTTTATGGATACAACTTCTGTGTATAATAGGTTAGTGTTTGATATATTTTTTGGTTATAATTAAGGGCCACAACTTATGTAAATAAGTGTTTTATTTGTATTACAGTATATTACAGTATTACACTATGCACAGAGTTGTTATTTCCCTTTAAGATGCTATTGTGTTACTTTGATGGTGGGATACATTGCCAACTGCACCAGTGGGTTCAATTATATTTAGTTCTCACCTTTCATCATTTCATTGAAGGAGTCCTGCTTTATATTAATTCTTTATAAGCTAAGTGAACTGTTGCATATATTTGATATACTTTAACATGTGGACTTTTTCTATATCTGCTTGAGAGTAATTTATAAAGGAGGCTATAATATTCCTGTATTTATTGCTTTTTTTTGCGCTCTTAATGGTTAAAAAAAATATATATATATTTTCTCAGTTTATGTACCTACCAAGAAGTTGCTATTTTACTCTTTAAAAAAACCAAAAAAACAAAATTTGGATCACCAGCTTATTTCACACAAGTATCTAAGTCCTTTCACTTGATAGAATGAACCAGGAATACTATGTCTACACCTGGTTTGGCATCTTCTAGAAAAAAAAAAAAAAAACAGAAAAATTCCCTTTGTGCATACCAACCAAGCCGACATAGAATATAACCAGGCCACAAAGAAAAAAAGATATCATTGTGATACAACGGGAAACAACCCATGCATTCCAAAGGAAAATTACAAAGTACAGAGTCTGCCAGTCCTTGAGAGGAAGGATACTGTGGATGTTGGAATGGTGTGTGGGTGTATTTTAAGGAGTCTTCGTATAAAACAATAATTGGCACATTGTGCTAAACATCTTTAGTGATCTACCTAACAGAGGGAAGAAAAACATAATTTCTATAGTGAGCTATGTGATCTACCTAACAGAGGGGAAAAATAACCTATTTGTGAGCACTGCCAATGTGCGTGGAGAAAAACGTGATGCAACATAAACCTTGCTTACTGTACCATCAAGCTGTTGCAAGACAGGTGCTAATATGGTATGTCATATTTTTGGACTCAGGCAGATATGCAAACATACCAAAGTTGATGCAATATCTTCCAGTTCATTTTCCAGTGCAAGCCAGAGAGGAGGATTCCCTTGATCATCAGTAACAGACATGTCAGCCCCACGTGTGCAAACAGCATCCACCACAAGAGGGAGCTGGTTTTTAATTGCCAACTGCAATGCCGTTTCTCCTTCCCGGGTTCTAAAACAACAAGAGTAATTTGCTTATTTTGCTATTTACTTTGTACATTTTACCCCATACTTCTTCTATTGACATTAAAGGGTTATTCCAATAAAAAAACAAAACAGAACTCACAACTGGACCACCAGGGCTGGCTGTGCCCCCCCATTTCACCAAAGGTAAGAAGAAGGGTGGGGGACACATAGATATTTTATTTAATGTATAGTAGTATTTAAAACAAAAAAACAAACAAAATTTGCTACCTGCACCCCTCAAACTCTGCAACACACACACACACACACCATCCCACTCACTGCACCCTTCACTGCAGTATATGTGTATTCAGCAGTCTGTGTGTGTATATATACAGTAGTCTGTGAGATGTATTGTATGTATGTATTGCATTTGTTGGAGGTACTAATAAATATAAGCTTTATTGTATGTATAATTTAAATTTTTATTCCTGTGAGTTGTGTAGGCAGAGCCCCACTGCACTGCTTTGCCCGGGGGGTCATAATTTTGTTAAAATGGCACTGGTGTCTGTCAGTAAGTGTGTGTCTGTCAGTAAGTGTGTGTATAAGTTTATGTGTCTATTAATAAGTGTGTCATGGAGTGTGTATCTGCCTGTGTGTGTGTGTGTGTCTGTCAGGGTTTGTGTGTGTCTGTCAGGGTTTGTGTGTGTGTTATTCACAGTGAGTGCCAGTGTGTCTGCCAGCAGGGCCAGCCTTTGAGGTGTGCAAGCTGTGGTGGCCAACACAGCTCGCAAGTTGGGGACACCAGCATATTCAATTTAAACTATTCCCTTGTGGTCCACTGGTGATCATATCCTCTCCCTCGTGGTTCCAGTGCTCAGTTAGTGAGTCAGAGCACAGGCCTGAGGATGCCAGCCCTCCCCTGTTTCCATCAGGCGTCACCTAAGTGCATTGTGCAATTCAATCACATTGATATATTCACTTTTGTGCTGGCGGCTAGTTCAACCATACATGACAGCCTGGAATTCCTTTCCGAATATCAATTCTGTGCAAACATTAAATCTGCAGTCAGCGTGCATAACGAGCTGGCAGCAGACATAATGAGCTTCAACCCTTGCAGGCAGAGTAAGCTTGTATATTCCCCCCACCTTTCACTTACTCCCCTTAGCCCATTGGGAAAATAAAATGCAGAGTGTACAGAAGTATTATGCTTCAAATAAAATGTAGGTTACTCAGTAAATAATAAACAAAATTTGCTTTTTAAAATTGTATTTATATTACTAAGTCCAGATATGTAAATGAAAAAACAAATAAACCATCAACTCCAGATGTTACATACAGGTAGAAATCACACATTTATACTCCAATATTGTTTATATGCGATAACGAGGAAAAAAAAGTCCTATTATTACACAGTAATCATATTGAAGAAGTTCTGCCTGAAGGTGGCTTGTGTTTGGCTGATTAAAAACAAAATCTTGAGAGAATCTCAAATTATCAAGTCTAATTCATGTTTATGGACAATACCAATGTTGGTCAAGGATAATATATTCAAATTGATTGCTTCTATTATACATATATAAACAGGTAAATAATATTGCATTAGAGAGTTCACTAGCAATTTATTTGACAAATTTTGTTGTCTGCTATATTTTATTACTCAATACCTGACGTTAATGTCAGCTTGGTGCTCCAGCAGGAAAAGGGCACTCTTGCTATCCTGTCTCTGTATTGCCATATGTAACAACGTCTGCCCGTCTGACATTGTGTCATTTATAGAGGCCCCAGACCCCAACAGTTGTGCAGCAATGGTGTGCATACCTGAAGAATATAACCACAAATTAGTAGATTAAAATCACATTTATTGCTGTGACATTATAAAGTAATTATACTAATGCACAAATACAAAACATCATAGAAATTAGAAGTGTTTTAAGTAAAATTAAAAAACAAACAAAAAAACTCACAAATAGTGAAGATTAAGATATGCCATATTTTTTCCTTACTGTCAGAAACATATTGCCATTACTGTAACAATATCCAGTGGTTTAAAAGAGTACCAAAAAACTATAGAATTTATTTAATGTTACTTGAAAATTGGTGTGTTACTGTATTTGCTTTTTAAAAATAAATGTATTTGAAGACTTATTTGAAAATAAAGTATGATATTTTTTTTGCATTACTTGGTGTGCTGTTGTGGTTTAAACAGTGTTGTTTTACTATTTGCTTAGCAGGGGAACTAACCTACCCAGAACTGCACCCATTTCTATATAGGGTTCAGAAAATCTGGTCTGAAACTACTTGTGTGCAATCAGACACTAATACATGAAAATCTCATGACGTTTAAACTTGACGTGATGATGTGTTGTAACTAAAGGCAAAGCTTCATGGGAGTTGTATTTCCACAACTTCTGCAGATCTACATTTTGAGTACACCAGTTTTAGGTGCTTTATTTGGGGAGATGTAGTCACATGGTTCATGGTTTAAATATCTGAATTAAAAAGCAAGAGTAACAAATTAAGTGGCCACATATACACAGGCCCACTTACTTTTGGCATAAATTGAAACACATTTAGAGCAGTAATGAGAGATTTTTCTAGATACATACCTGTCCATAACGCCAGGCCCAGCACAGTTTGTTCTCTTGAGTCCTTCAAGCTGAAGTCAGGGATAATCTGAAGATTATTTGTTGCATGAAGAGCATTGGCTGCATGGGAATACAATAATAAAATAATTTATTAGATGACTTTTACACAGCTCCAGCTATATTGTTTATCAATAGATTTTTATTTGGAGTACTGAACCATTTTTTAGGGTTGCTGGGTAAATAATAGTCTATGTGTAAATAACTATGTGAAGTTAAATTGTTTTGAGAAATAATTTTAGTAAGGTGTCATTTTCATCCACTATACAGTGTTACTTACAGATATATATTTTTGTATTCATAAACAATCTAAAGACATATTAAAGAAACACTACAAACACCTTAACCACTGTGGTGAAAGTGACCTCGCCACTGGTTTTTGGAGGGGCCTGTTTGCTTGCCTCCTACCCTGTGACTATGGGCCCTGCAATATACCTTGCCCACTTTAACCCCTTAAGGACACATGACATATCATGATTCCCTTTTATTCCAGACGTTTGGTCCTTAAGGGGTTAAAAGGCACCATGCATGTAATGTAAGTACTTTTGTACTCCATAAAGAGAGACCGACCGCTGGCCCTAATTCCCTGGAACTGTTTTGGGCATGAAGCCATGCTTGCGGCCGGTCAAAAAGACACTCCAATGAAACTTTTGAACCCCTGCTCTGATCTGTGTAATTTTTGGATATGCTGTTCACCCAGATCAGGGCTATCAGGGGATGTTATGTTTTGGGGTACTTTCTGAACTTTGTAAAAATTTAGTTTTTCTGCCTGGAGATAATTGAGTTACTTACAAGACTTTACTCAATTTTCTCCCAAGCAGAGGGGAGAAATTGTGTGCTGTACATGGGCGTGTTACAGACTTTATATTTGTTCTGATTGGCTTGTGTTCCTGTGCCCTATCAGGTCCAGGGGGTGTTCCTCTGGCCTCGAGAATTGAATAAAAGCCAACCTGAACCATTAAAGATCAGATCATCTTGCACCTTCATGAAGTTTTGGTTCATGTTTGGGGGATTGGAGAACTACACTCTGGAGGATTGCAAAAATCCCTTTACTCCCCTAAGTATAATCACTAAGCTCTTGTAAGAGCTTGTTCCTGCTATGCTCTCTGGACTAAGAGAGGTCTACCCACCGGAAGCTGGATCCTGGTCATAGGTCCAGGGTGGGTAGGAGATGGCGAGATCCCATCCAAGCTGCGACGGTTCGTTGTGTATGCAGTAGTTATGGTGTTCCAACGCAGTGCTTATGGTACTCGTTAGTACTAGGGAGCAGCGATTGACTGAGGTACCCGGTCCGTCACAACCACTATAACGCACTGTAGTGGTTCATAGGGACTATGGTGCCAGGAGTTCCCTTCGCATCTCCCATTATAAGTAGACAAAACATTTAGAACAATTTGGCTTCTTATTTGCACCACTCCTTCCCTTAACTACTTTTGACAGTGAGCTAGAAGCGCTCAGCCAATAAGCTAGCTCTGCACTGATCCAGAAAACCCAGCTGGACCATTATGGATACAAAACCTCCCTGCTGGACCGGCAGGGATACACCCAGTCTCCCTGTAGAAAGGTGAAAAGGACCTCAATACAGACAGAACGTTTTTAATTGGGTGAAGGTCATGTTTTGAGAGGAAGGGAATGGAAAGGGAAAGAAAAAGGAACAAATTAATATATTAACTGTGCCAGCAGCAGGAATAAAAACTTAAAACTTCAAAGGTTGCCCATTGAGGGGATGTTAAAAATAAATAAAAATAAAATAATAATTAAATATCAACTTTGTTCTTTAGAGAGTATGTTATATTATTCCCCTGAAATTAATGCATGAATCTTATGTGGCATTAAGTTCTGTAGGGTACCCATCCTGTTTTTCTTTTTCACCCTCAAAATTAAAAATCGAATACATACAATATTAAACATTTGAAATAACCTGCAACAGAGACTTTCCTAAAACATACCCCACGATATATAAATAATTAAAACAATTGGAGTAAATCACTGCTATTAAACAAATAGTGGGGGCTAGATCAAGCAAACATCTTTGATTTAATTCTAAAAATAATCCAGCCACTGACAGCAACTCACTGACATAACTGCACCTATGAGGCAAAGCACAATTCTCAAGTATTAAAGATTGTTAGCTACTACAGATTTACACATTATATTATCCTGACATATTGCAATGTTGGTATGCATATATATGGAGGATTAATACATTAATGGTCCAACAAAGACAAATACCTTTTTGCTCCAATATGACGGATACCACGTCGGGATGGCTGTAAGCTATTGCCATGTGCAGGGGTGTTTGCAAGTATACACTGGATGACGGGTTATTTGCCACAGAACCTTTTGGGGATGGTACAGGCTCTTGGGTCTGGATGTTTGGGTTGGCCCCTTGCTGTAAGAGTTCTGCTGTAAGGTTGGAGAGCCCCTCCCGGCATGCTGTATGTAATGGGCTTTCTCCCTGTAGGTATACACAAAAAGAGTACTCTCAGTAAAAGGTGTACTAGTATACAAAACAATGACATGCATCATTATTGAACCATGATGTACTCAGTTCTTTACACTTCCACACTCGTAAAGGGGATGCAAGAACAGCATGCAGACAAGTAAAACCATTAAACAAACACTCTGGCCCTAGTTAAAAATAAATAAACAACATCTGCTGGAACATCAGGAATAGAAAAGCCACCTTCCTGCAGGAAAAAAAACTATTTTTATTATAACTGCTCTGCAATTTAAAATGGTTTTATAGTTTGTGTGTGGTATTCAGTCTGTCATAGAAGAATTAAAATTTTTAAAACTTTCCATGAATTTGTGGTTTTACACTCAAATCCTACAACTCTGATGTTAGATCTAGGACCGTTCTTAGTAGAATACATTTTCCAGAAGCCTATGGAACTACTATTGTCTCTCCAAACTAAGCCATAAAGGATAACTGAAAATCTGGCTAAAGCTTTTAACTAGCTTCCTTGGTTCACATAAAAGTTAGGACATATTTTTATTCTGGTTAAATGTAGGAACTCTTCATCGCATTCAAAGTCCAGCAACTTTGCAGTCACTTGGATAAAGCAGAGGTTACACTACATCTTAAGTCCAACCTTGGAAGGCAATGACAGACAGAAAGTGCTAGAATATGTTTGGCTTTGGACTAATAGTGCAGAAGTGCAAATGTATCCAACCACATTTTCCAAGAGACAGTCAAGGTATCAGAATGTGTGTGCCAGGAACAGCTTCTTTTGTTTTTTTTATTTTAATTATTGGACATAAAACTAGAGGATAATTCATCAAACACTACAATGAGATGTTAGAGTGCATAGTGTCCCTTTAATGATCAAATCTGCAGTTAAGCAACGCACCTTAGTTGGCTCTGAACTGAGCTGTGGCTACCCACTAATTTGTTTCCCCATTATATGCAAATTAAATGAATAAAAGGGTCAGGTAAACCCGCTATCAAGCAGCACATTTTGAGTTGCTGCAATAACCCTAATAAATTTGATGAATGACAACTCATTATACATGAAAGAATATAATCAAAAAGCATTATCTGGGTTAAAAACACTGCCCTATGGGCTGCAACCAACGTATAAATCACATTCCGTGGTTTTTATATTTCCATTAGTGTTTTCTCTGCTTTCAAAATACTGTATCACTTAGACAGATAATCTGTAGTAAGTAAATAGGATATATCCTAGGAACATTATCTGTAGAGTGGCTGTATATGAGTACAATGCTCGAACACCATGAGTCACCGATGAGCCTCCTTCAAACTCACCCATTTATTTTTATGATTGACTTTTGCTCCATGAGTTGCCAAGAATAAAGCGGCTGCCTCGCTCCCTGCACCTGCAGCTCTCTGTAACAAGCAATTACCTGCAAGAAACATTACATATATACACACACATGAGAATCTCAGAACATATACAAATGAAACAGTCTGCACCATGAATGGACCTGGCTGAGTGTATGATGTTTTGTAAACAGGATGTGATGTGTGGTTCTAAAGCAGTGAAGGTTGAATTGTGTAAATAAAATAATAGACTATTATTCTTATATTATGAATACACACTATAACCTGTCCGAATGTAATTCTAAGCATAATTAAAAAAACATTTCCATACAAACGATAAAACAATATAGCATACAAAAATCTATTTTCTACACACAATATTTAAGGACATTATGTACATTATAGAAACACTTCAAGCACCATGACCATTACAACCACACTAGTGGTTATGGTGTTAGGAGTGCACTGGAGCCCTCTGTAAGTAAGTAGTCAAACAATTTAAGAATAGTTTGACAACTTCCATTTTTAAATACTTATTCTGAGAGGGCACCAGCGGGCTGTAGTGGTTATGACAATATGTCCCATAGCGACTTGGTTTCAATGAAATATGTTCTGAGAGAAATGCTCTTAAGGTTGGCTAACCATTACGGGATGCTGTGTGGTGACACATGTAGCCATTACATCTCTAACGAAGCCCAATAGTCACTAGGAAAACCTTTAGGTCAAGGTTGCAGGTGAAAAAGTCATGCATAGTTTATTCATGCAACTAACTGACCATAGCTCACTGCTGCTTGCCTCCAGTTGCCATCCAAAATTGCTTAAGCAATCATTGCCAGTATCTCAAGTTTTAAGAGTCATAAGGAACAACTCTGACTGTACGACCAGGGAGGTACAGATTAAAGTAAATTTTGAAAGTTCTTTGAAAGGGGATATGACCTGGTTGAGGAAGCCCTCAGATCAGCTAGACTGAAGAATATGAACAATGATGTTAAACAACATCATGAAACCAACAGGGTGGTATTCCCTCAAATATTTAACTCTAAATGTTATCAATTTGCCAGAACCATTCGCACTAATTGGCACCTTATATAGAGTGACACGTCATTGCCCACGACAATGAGAACCCCATCCCCCCAATCAGTTATAGAAGAGGTACTAACCTACTTAATATTTTGGTTCATACTGACCAATTTACACAGTGTGCGTCTGAGAGTGGCTCCAGGAATACTGGCTGCTTTAAATGCTTGGGATGCACCACTTTTAATCAGATGGTTCAGACTAAAAGATTTCACCATCACACACTGGGAGAGAGTACAAGATTCAGCACTGGATCTTGTGTACTACTGAATGTCTGGTGTATAAATTTGTATGCCCCTGTCGTTTGGCATACATTGGCAAGACCAAGAACGGAACTATTCGATAACATCACGTACCTAACTGGTCTACGATGACAAGCCCACAGGAAGCACCACCTGTCTATGTTTGTGCTCTATGTCAATATGTCCCTTATTGTGTATTTCTAGATATCAGCCTTAATTGGATATTACACTCCCCAAATTTTTATTTCCTTTTATCACCTTTTTCTTCTGTCTTTTTAGAAATGTTCCCATGAAAGCTTTGTTTTTTTTATTTATTTTTTTGTACTATTTTGTTAAATTACATGACAGGGTTTTCACCTGGGAATAATTATGTATCCTGATTTTCTGTCACCTTTTACAAGTAGAGAAACTGCTATGTTTATAAATGGGTTAATCCAGCCCTCAAATCCTCTAGTGGCTGTCTCATTGACAGCCGCTAGAGGCGCTTGCGTGATTCTCACTGTGAAAAATCACAGTGAGAACACGCAAGCGTCCATAGGAAAGCATTGTAAATGCTTTCCTATGAGACCGGCTGAATGCGCATGCAGCTCTTTCCGCGCGTGCGCATTCAGCCGAAAGGGAGGAGAGGAGGAGGAGAGCTCCCCGTCCGGCGCTGGAGAAAGGTAAGATTTAACCCCTTTCCTCTCCCCAGAGCCGGGCGGGAGGGGGACCCTGAGGGTGGGGGCACGAGAATGTTTTCCTGGCACTATAGTGGTCCTTTAAGTCTCCCATGTGGTCTACAGCACAGGTTTTCAACTGCACAACAAGCAAGGAGTACGCCGAAAGCTGGCTACCTTACAGCTCCCAGGTGGTGGCCGGCGGTGAGCTAAGGCAGAGTAGGCACCAGTTTACATGGACAGCAGGTGCCTAATCTGCTTGAATGTGGAGGGGATGAAGAAGGAAGGCAAGGGAGAGCTCATGTCTGTGTTCTTCTAGCACTGCTCTCTCGTACACCCTACAGTGATTCCAGGTTAATATGTCACTTTGGCCCTGGCGTCAAAACACAGTAGGAGCAGTGCTAAACCCCAGAGAAAGGATCCACTCCAGCTCTCCCAAAGGAAGGAACGATGTGTGGACTTGTATAAAAATAATAATTTGTGAGTGTGTGAGAGAGAGAATGTGTATGTGTCTGTCAGTCAGTGTGCGTCAGTGTCGTGTGTGTAAATTTGTGTCACTGTCCTGTGTGTGTGTTTCAGTGAAACTATTACATGTGTATTATATTTTCATTCTGTGACTTTTATACTTCAGATTAAAAGCTCATACACTCCTCCTTAAACAAACAATATTCATATTATGTCATTTAAAAAAATATATACATATTCTTTACTACCTTTAAATCAGGCTTTTTCTCCAAATGGAATGGATTTAAATATTGATGTCTGCACATTTAGTTTGGAACTTAAATCAATAGAGGTTCTTGAGGCATGGGGTACTTGGGAATATATTTTGTTTTAGACCTGCAGAGTTACTTTTCTGGAAAAGATTGACAAACACTGGTCTACAGTCCTTGTTGTTGTCTGTCACAAGCTTCCTTGTAAACACAGCACTCCATTCACACAGGTTGTAATTTAATTAAACTTCTTGGTGTGATTGGTTGCTATTCTAAAACCATACTGATATGGTTGACTTTTGTTCACTGTACATACAAACATTTATAAAACTCCTGAATGAGTCTAAATAAAGTGTACATTGCTTTTCCCCATTTTATCACGTCTGGATGATATTTGTAGGGGAACGTCTGCAGTAGCTCTCTCTCCTTCTGGAAGATCCTTGGCAACACTAGTCGGATAGTGCTTGAAGCAAAGGCTAGCTCACTCTGGGACCAGTCCTCCTGTATCTGTTACAGGGGACTTATTTCCTTATCCCGAGATTCAACCGCTGGTCACAGAAAAAGAGTGCAGTTCTGGGAAAAATGGTCTACATCACATATAAAAATATCAGGCACTAGTGATCTCTTGAATTTTACATTTTGCAGGAAGTTGGCTCTACTCTGCTGAATGCAGCAACAATGCTTGTACATGAACATTTTTCATTGTAGAATATAAGAAATTCAGAACAACAACAAAAAAAAAATCAAAAAAAGACACCCCACAATTTATTACTCCTTATGAGATATTCTAATAAATTGAATTTATTTTGTTTTAGGAATCAGTAAATCCGAGATGATCTAAGGTGGTGATTCCATAACCAGTTTTCAAGAACCACCAACAGTACAGGATTTAAAGTCGTCACAGTGAGAATAGATAAAAGCGCTACTGTTGTACGTGCAAGCAGACTAATGTGGGAACTACTGGCTTAAAGGGACACTCCAGACCCCTAAAGCAGGTCAGCTTGCTGAATAGCTTTATGTGTGAAGAGTGTCCTTTTTTCAATTGGGAAATAGTGCAGATTTCAATAGAAATTGACACTTTTATAAATTATACTGATTACACCCCGCTGGCTTTTCAAGCAGAGAACAGGTCCTGTTACTTCCTGGTTTGGTTAGCTTATTTGCACTGAACTCAAGAGGAAGCAACCGCTCAGAGCACCTGCCTTGCAAAGATTTCTCATTGAGCTGCATTGGGAAGTCTGTGATTGGACAGCCACAGAAAGTTTGGGCGGGGTTAGAAGAGGGGGGCTTTCAAAGGCAGCAGACAAGAGAACTCCACTGCCCAATACAAAATAAATAAAAAATTACTGTTTAGCATTTAATTATGCCTTTTTTCATTGGGGATATATCTAAAAAAAGCTTGCAAAAATTGCAGTTCTCTTGTCTGCTGCCTTTGAAAGCAGTGGCTTAGAATTATACTTGAGTAGAAATAGTTAGAACCATAGCTGTTACTAAAGGTACTTTAAGCACTGGAACAGCTATGGTTCTACCTATTTCTACTCAAGTATAATTCTAAGCCACTGTTGATACAGGTTCACATGCTAATCACCCACATGTCCCATCCTGTCAACGGTCATATTGTTTCTACTAGACTAATCTTGCAATGGCAGAGGTACTATACACGAAGAAGCCAAAGACATGGAAATTGAACTTACACCAATCTAAAGCAATTACAGGGAAAGCACATAGTCAACAGATTTTTAGCAGCAAGTTATATCTACCTATTAAACCGATGCCAAAGAGAATACAAACCTCTTGTGTTTACCTGTTACTGTGTCAGGTGCATCTGTGTTGCTTCCTCGTTTGATAAGCCTTGCTGCAAAGCTATTCTCATCAAATGATGTTCCATTCACTACAGGGGCATCATCAAATGGATTTACTGATTGATCCGAAGACATTGTAATATACTGAACAGCAAGCCAAAGCGCCGTGCTTCCTTCATGGTCCTTGAGTTCCAAGTCTAACCTAACGTAAAATGGAGTGAGAATTATCAGATCATACTATTACATCGATCAACACTGCCCTTAAATCATTTTGATGACCCAACCTATTAAAAAATATAACCAAATTGCTGCAGACCTTTATATTACATTAAACTCTGGGAACATTAGTACTACAACAATGATCTCAAACACTGCACCCCACCAGATGTTGATGGCCTATCACTCCCAGAATTCTCTGACTACATCAAGGAATGGTGGAGTTTTGGTTCAGCAAACATCTAGGGGATGGAATGTTTGTTTAAGTACAAAGGACTGCAGAAGATTCTAGGATAGGTTCAACAATAATTTGGAATTGAACACTAGTAATATTAGATGTATCTTCTAGCATACAAGTAGTCAACTGTACAATTGCAAACTATGGAATGAGGAAAAGTTAATACTAAATTACTATACACCATGGAAAATATTTATTCATAAGAAGTCAGAGCAGTTTTTAACCTCTTAAGAACTAAACTTCTGGAATAAAAGGCAATCATGACATGTCACACATGGCATGTGCCCTTAAGGGGTTACACACTGTGGCACATCAAGGGCATGAATACAAAAAGTGCAAACTAGACAGAAGAATCATCACAACTATTATGAGAAGATCCCACTGGATAACAACTGCCTAAATATTTACAGAAAGTAGTAAGAATTTATGGATGTAGGTTTCATAATTATTCAATAAATAGAAAGGCAAGGAAAAGGAGTGTTGTCATTATAGCATTTAATCTCCAGACAGATTCTGCCATTGTCTAACCCAAATTGTAAAGCAGTGAATCATATTACTTACTGTTTGCATTGAAGCAGCTGGTTAAAAACGTACTCATTTCTGGCAAGGATAGCGGTGTGCAGAGGCGTCCTGTTAGAAGATAAAGAGTTTTACGGTTATTGTGTTCATCATTTCTGTTGGATTCATTGTTACACGTAATTGTGTCTTTTCCGGGATGGTCCATCTACACACGTACAACTGCACTGGTGGGGCTCCATGTAACCCAAACGCTTGACATTAACCTTTTTACTCTACTTCTAATTTGATATTACTATGCGATAAATTCCAACAATGATCAAACATGTACAGAAATGACTAAAATACAGAACAGTGAAAACAAAGACCTGTGAGGACCAAGCATCTCTTTCAGGAAATACTTGCCTTCCTTTGCCATCTTGCATGTTGGGATTGGCCCCTGTATGTAACAGTGCTTCAGCAATTTGAGAGATGTCAGACATCTCTTCCAGGGTGTGGTCCTTCATTGAGCAAGAAGCCACCAAATGTAGAGGAGTCTTCTGGTCTACGACTGTAGCTGCATTTACAAGGGCTCCATTTTTTATAAGGAAGTTGCCAGCAAATTTATCCTCTTAAAAAAAAATGTAATAAAATTGATTAGTGTTATACATAAAACCTAATCGTTTTATAAAACGGAGAGGACAAAATATTCCAAAAACTAAATATACATGCCATTAACAAGGAACTTTAAAATATTGTACAGAGACATTTAAAACATTTGGAATATTGATTTAAAATTACAGCTGATATCTAATGAAGCTATACAGGGTTTAGTTGTGATTACCACAAAAAAAAATCACCAATCACAGATCCACAGTTTGTGTAACATTAGCTACTCCCATCACAACTCTTATGAAACGGCTAATGAAAGTGCATTCTTAAATGTCATATACCCTCACCAAATATGGTCAAAGAAAAGCATAGATAACTATTTAAACATGTCACATTCAATATTAGTTGAGTTTCATTTATTGTGTTCAGTAGTGACACAGATATTGTATTCTTAATGTCATATCAAAAGCAGGTTCTTCTTAAGTGTGAATATGTAGTTTCACATATTTCAAGCTACTGATGAAATAAATAATATTGGATCAAATACATGTAAATAAAATAAACATGCGCAGGGGCGGAGCCAGTGCCTAAACAAGCAAGATGCACAATCGTCAGCTCCATGCTCTTACTTTGCTAACTTCGATTATCCAGCGTCTCAAGTCACCTTACCAGGGTTTGAAGTGGCAGCCCACGTGCCCTATGCTATGGGGAAGAAAAATAGAAAGCAGCAAGCAGACCCAGGCTCTGGCTCCCAAGATATAGGGGCCATTCTGCGCACGGCCACATGGCCTGAGCTTCCCAAGCTGAGGTCTATTACTCATAGAAGTCGGATGACTATAGCCTATATGCAGAATCGCCAGCTTTCTTAAAATTACACACAGTGGCACGGGTGTCTCCAGAGATAGGGGACTCTGCACCATCTACCATGGGTGTCATAAAGGCATTTATACTAGACATCATGTTCCAGGAGTATATGGCAAAGGTTAGAAAGGAAGTTTCTGCCCTTACTAGCCATTTTGTGACAAGTGAAAAAGATGTGGGAGACACCAGGCTAGCGCAAATGGCAACTGATGCTGCAATAAGCGCACTACAAACAAGCTGTGCGGATCTGACAACGCAAATGGCTAATATGGAAGACAAGGCCAAGGCACACAATATGCAGATATGCAGCATACCTGGAAAAGTCACGCAATTACTGAGAGAAAAGACCACACCGCCTAACGGCAGACAAAGCTAGCAAGTCTCACCACCTGTCCCAACTACTGGAAGTTCCTTCGGAGTGGAGAAGTGCTTTTGAGCAATCACTGGACCTGTCGGCAGCAGCCTTATCGGCCGTTCGACCCCCCTGGTCAGTAGAACGAATCACTCATTTCATGGGGGACAGTCGAATTACCTGCTTGAAGGAGTTATTTTTTTAACTGTTCAAGCTGCATATACTGTTGCATTACCTATACTGGCTCCGTTAGCTATTAAATTAATGGATAGTTACGTTACTGTCTCCCCCCCCCCCCGTCACCACTCAATATAAGCAGAGCTTGCTTACGTCGGCGGGGAAGTCACACCCACCAACACTTCTAAGAATGCTAACTTTCACTCCCCTTTTTCCCCCCAACGTCGACGCGTTAATTATGCACGCCGAAGCCTTGTATGAACCACAAGCCTCATAACGCTTAATGGCCATTCAACGTGACGCACAAATTGTGCGTGTCACGTGTTCCGGCAATATATGCCATTAACTTATAAAACCCTTGTTTTAATAAAATGTTTAAATATTTGTTTTAAAGGTATATTGCTGTATATAGACACTAATAAAGGTACTTTGTACATGTGATTAATTACTGCAATTACCAAGTATATTTTTATTACCTCTTTACTGCTATGTATTTTATTGAGAGCACTATTGATGCCTTTTTTTTTTTTTTTCATCTCTTTCTCTTTGAGCCCTGGTTCCCTATTACATCAAGGACACTCGCACCATTTCCTATAAGTGGGGATTGTACCAATGTACGTGAGATACGTTAGAGCTGGCCAAGCTCTAATAAATGTGAGTTGATTACCACCGTTTTTACCTTGCTCATTATTTTAACATTTTATTGGATTTTTCTTTTTAGTTCTCCATTTGTTGTGAACACGTGGGAAAAGTGGAGCCATAACGTACCCCTTGGGATTTAGAGAATCATTTCTCCACACCATACTCTAAGAAGGCCATTTTCCATATGTGAGATATTCTACTACTCTAATTGGAACTTTTCTACCTTCCATTTTCTGGACTTTCATATTGTTTATTTAGACATTTGTGTGGCCCAGCCTTCCTATCTTTTTTTTTTTTCTCATACACTGTTGCAATACCTATACTGGCTCCGTAAGCTATTAAATGAATGGATAGTTACGTTGTGGTCCCCTCCTCCTGTCCCTTCCTCACCACTCACTGTGCAAAACCTTTTGTTAGACCCATTAACATCTACCAGCATGTTCAGCATACAACCTTAGACTTCTCATATACTACCACCAGATTCGGTGGCATTTATGGGTCAAGGAAGGCTTTTGACCTTCTCTTATTACACGTGTGTTCCTTAAACCAATGTATTTAGTGCTGCATTTATCTCTTATTACCCTGGGCACACGCCGCCTTCACTGGCACCCTCTGTTTTATTGTTACGCCTCACCTAGTCCAGCAATAGGGGTTTATATATAGCATGAAAAGTTAAAATAGGGTCGACTACACCCATGTTTTGTAATCTCATCTGTTTTTAATCATAATTTGCTCTGCTCCTTACTTCACATGCTGTATTGTTTACATAATGCTGACCCGTAAAATTTTTTTTTTAAATTAAAAAGAATAAACAGGCGCCTAATATTTAGAATAACACAAGGAAACATGACATTAGCATGTATAAAAAAAAAAGTAAACTACTTTGATAGTTGATACTAAAATCACTTAACATGCCAGAAGGAAGAATAAGCAAGCAATATTATTTGCCACTGACAAAACAAAAAGGGAGATGGATGAAATAGGGTATAAAATGATCAACATAGCACTCTTCTCAAATATAGGTATATATCTCTTACAAGCAAGTGGTTAAGCAAAATGCAATATGAACATAGTTGTCTACAGAGTTCCAAGTATAATATCAGACTTAATCAAAGCCACACACAGTGTGAAAGTAACAACTTGGGAAAGAAAACAAAGCACAGAATGTTCCTCCAGAGTGGAGACGGTGTTTCTTTTTAACATACAAATATAACCAAAACGCTAAATGTAGGAATGCAATCCAAATTTGTAACCACTAAGGTAGGGTTTACTGCAAGAAATATTCTCTACACAAACCATCACCAACAACTATCTACAATAGCATATATATCATAGCCATAGCCTTTCTTGTTACAAATCGGGGATATTTTCTACAATAAATAATGTTCGTAAACGCAAACTCTTAAATTAGGCAAAGCTCTTATACAATATAAAACCAAATACATGGGATGGTTAGATCTAGAACTACCTAATGGGTTTCATCTGCAATTATGGTAACAAATTAAAGGACAATTCCAAGCACTGATAGATAAGTTGCCTCTTGACTCCACTATCATAAGTAATTGTAAATCCCTATCCTCACCTCTTTGGATGGCTTTGTGCAACAAACTCCAACCCTTATTGTCCACCATGTCAAGATCTGCTTTACTGTTTACCAGAGTAGTTGCGATGCTCTCCAGCTTTCGGGAAAGGGCCAGGTCCAAAGCAAGGTCTCCATTTTGGTCAAGCTCATTTAATTTCGCAGGCAACTGAAATGACAATTTGGTATGTTTTTTTCTTTAATAATAAAAACAAATCATTACATTTACATCTATATTGATTGTGTACAATATAATATTTTTGGAAATGTTATGGAATTGGCAAAATGGAGTTGTGTGATTGAAAGTATTTTAATGTTAAACAAGGAGGGTTTATGTACAAGTATGTTATTCAGGTCTGAATTTCTAGAAATGGAGCAATCAATGGAAAATGCACTACTTGTAATGCTATGCCCTAGAATTTCTCTTATACACAACCCCCACTGAGATGTTAAATGGGAAGAACTATAGTTCTATAAAACCAACCAAATCATGCCGATGTCTATGCTCACTTCAGTTTATAGTAATGGGATTATTATTTGTAAATAGTTCTCAGTTTAATTATTCTAAAATTACCATCTTTTTGTCAGACACAAATATTTACAAAAGTAAAAAAGATACAATTTTTTTTTTTTTTTTAAATTACAATGATGAATCAAGCTTTATTTCCACTATCATAAAAGTAGTAAGTTCTCCATGTGGGCATGCATTAAGTAAAGTTGTCAGCAGGACATTAGGTCCCTTTAGCAACACAGGAGCTCAATCTTGTCTGTGCCAATACACAAAAGTGAGGCTTAGAAACAGGAATTGGGCTAATTAAGCTCCTTTCCTTAACCCCTTAAGAACCAAACTTCTGGAATAAAGGGGAATCATGACATGTCACACATGTCAGGTGTCCTTAAGGGGTTAAAAGGGTCACATCGAGCACTAACAGCCACTATTGCATGGAAATGCAGTGCACGTCTCTCTTCCTCTCTGAATACAATTGTTTCTTACCACAGTGAAATAAATTAGTGTGGCTATAAGCCAATTCCATACCGGTTTTGCAGATGTCACACAAGAAAGGTCATTTTCTGCTACTCAAATATTTGTCCAGTGTGTGAACATTATATACAGTACACAGTAAAGTCTATACTTTGTGCTGACTTTATTTTTATTTTTTTAATTGTTCTGCAGTTTAATAAGTAAATAAAAGATTTGCAGCTAACCTGGGGCACAGAGCACTGTTAACAGTCCAAAAAAACAAAACACAAAACATCTGTGCACATTTGCTTTTCCAAAAAGTAAATTTAAAAGTTATCGCTTTTGACTAAATAATTGTCAAAAGTTATATTTTTAGACTTTGCTGCAATTCAGTTACCTGTTACTAATGCACGGCTTCATAGGCAGCTGATAGGCAGGAGGAAAAGTTGCATAACCAGCCTTCTGATGTTATCAAAATTTGACATCATAGGGGGGCATGGCCTGACAGCCAAGCGAGACTGTCACATGGTGCTGGTGCTCCTCAGGGAAATTGTGTTGTGTTAAAAAGCCTCAAATTGGGCATTAAACCCTGCTTTTAGCTAAAAGCTTATCACCGCCTTCAATTGGAGCTTTTGAGCTGTATGCCCTGTTCCCCCCCCTCCCCTTTGGACCGGTGGGGGTTATCACAGTCCCCACTGGTGTGTTGGAGTGGTCACCTAGCCAGGTAATCCACCCTGCCTGCGATTCAAGGCCTAACAATCAAGAGGGCCACCACACTTACCGCCTATCGCAATAAGCAACTCCCCGCCAACTTCCACATACGTGGAACCACTATTCCAGGCTTTTGATCGCCTCTGTGAAGCCTTTAAGGCACAGCTCCGTGAGAGGGGCTCACAGCCTCTACAGGACGAACTACAGCGTCCCAGTGCCGTCCGGTCAACCAAAGCTGCAATTATGGGCATTCCCCACGTGTCCCGGGAGATTTACAGCGTAGGAGAAGGCGCAAGAAGGCGCTGTGACGAGCGGTTTGCTTTCGGCTGGTCAACAATACCCATCACTCACTATGACAGCAGAGACACACACATCTTCGCCACCAGTGTGACCAGCGTGACACAGGCGCCTCCACTCTACCAGGGGGTACAAAACCGAGAATCACTGACCGGATTACTCTCATGGCAATAAACCATCTTGATGCTCTGTAGTCTGTGGTTCAGTGGTAGGGCTTCAACGTGGTTACAACCGTCAAGGACAGCTGGAAAACTCCTTCCATAGGCATCGGTTAAGTTCCCCTTCACTCTCAATTGCAGCTTGGTTATATTAGTAAAAATGCCCCAGAACCGCTGAACGCTGTTGGAGAAAGTCTCACTGTGCGTCTGACTTTCTCCACTATAAATTTATGCTGCGCTAATACAGCTTGTCTCTTTCCTCTGCAAAAGTAAATTACTTCAATACCCTTATAACCACACTCTCCTGCGAACCCAAACAACTATTTCACCCTATTGTTCCTCCTCCACCTACTAACTTGACCACTTCAGACTTTGCAACTTCACTGACAAGATCTCTACAATCAGGGAAGAGATCTCTAATCTTTCTTCTTCCCCTTACAATACATCTCCTAACCTCACTCCCTCTGCTGTTCTATGTTCATTCGCACCCGCTACAGCAGAAGAGGTTTCTGCTCTGCTCCAGTCCTCCTGCCCCACCACATGCTCCCTAGATCCAATTCAATCGCATCTCATCCGTACTACTTCTCTACCTCTCACTAAAATTCTCAATCTCTCTCCCCCCTTTGGCATATTTCCATCTCCCTTTAAACATGCAACGGTAACCCTAATTCTAAAGAAGCCAAACCTTGACCCTAACTCCCCTTCCAACTACCATCCTATGTCACTACTGCCTTTTGTGTCCAAGATCCTTGAAAGTTGTGTATGCGAGATTGACAGACTTCCTGTGCTCCCAACTTGCGCTGTTACAGACCATAATTAATGCGGCGGCAAGGCTCATAGCCCTGTCCGTCCCCAGCGCCCACGCCTCACCCTTCTGTGAGTCCCTACATTGGCTTCCTGTAAGATATAGGGCTCAATTTAAAATTCTGGTTTTCTCTCTCAAATGTATACATAAGGCTGCTCCCACCTATCTATCCTCCCTAATACACAGGTATGTCCCGTCTAGGCGCTTACGCTCTGCTGAAGATTTGCGTCTATCTTCTGTCCATACTCCCACCTCTGATGGTCGCCTTCAAGACTTCTCGAGGGCTGCACCGTTCCTGTGGAACTCACTTCCCTCCTCTGTTAGATGCTCACCCAGTTTCCACTCCTTCAAAAAAAATCATTAAAAACCCACTTCTTCTCCCACTCCGGCAGGAAGATCCGCACGACGCCACATTGGGAGATAAAAACATGCTAGGTGGACATTGTACCCAAGGAAGGTGGAAGCCCAGTCAGGGAATCGGCTGACTGCCTAAACTTTGGGAGCTGGCTGCCGGACGAGATAAGTCTTCGGACAGTTATTCTTGGGAGTACATGCAACCACTGTACAAACCAGTTATGCATAACGTATGTTTTTCATGCATTAACCCCTTGTTTTACTTTCTGTACTGAGCCATCATATGCCTCAATAAAAACAAAGATTGACAAAAAAAAAAAAAAACTTCTTCATAAAAGCGTATCAATTAAACGGTTAATAGCTCCGGACTGATTCCTCTCTTGCAACTGTCATTAGTCTAATACTATCCTTACCTTTTGTGTCACTTTACCCAACTCCCTCTAGCATGTAAGCTCATTGAGCAGGGCCCTCAACCCCTCTGTTCCTGTGTGTCCAACTTGTCTCTTTACAACTACATTTGTTCGTCCACCCACTGTAAGGTGGTGCAAAATTTGTTGGATAGAGAATATATACACATATATATACATATATACATATATACATATATACATACACACACACACACACACACTATCCTTTCTATCATTTCACATTTATTTCCCATATGTCTTTTCACCCTGCCGGGCTATTCTCTGTCACTTATTTTTGTACTTGTTCCGTAGCGGTTCCCATGGAGATGTGTACAAACGTTGCTGAGGCAATGACGTGTTTGTTACATCATCACGCATGGGTCGCGGGTCAACGTGAGGGCACACAGGTTGTCGCACACGCGTGGTGAACGCCAGGGATTAAGCACAACACCTGGGGTAAGTCACTTATCTATAATGATTTTAGTTATATATTTGAAGTTGTTTGATTTTATTGTTGAGTCACTTGATCCTGAGGAAGGTCCCTGCGTGGACCAAAACGACCTGTCTGTTTGATCAAATAAACACCATTGAAATTTAAAGACCGTGAGTGCAGCCTGCATTTTCAATTTGTATATGTATATATATCTTATACGCTTATCTACAGTTCTATGGTTTTCTATAACATGATTTAACATATTTCTGCTTTTATTATTAGAACTATGCTCCTGTATTTCCTCTTATTACAAAAAGTGCAATTCCCTAAACATTTCATAAGTCGCTAACTCTTCTGAGTTGAGCTATGTATACTCAAGAGAAATGTTTATGTAAGCCTGTATATTGTCTTCTGAACCACAAAAATAAAGAATTGAAAAAAAAAAAAAGTATCTGACATTTATTTTTTAACACATTTTATATAAAACAGTTTTGGAATATCTGGCAGATTATGAGGGACCCACTGCAAATAATGAGAAAATATTGGTAACAAAAAAACAACAGCAACAAAGAAACACATAACTCATTCAAATGTTGCAATGAATATCTGTCCAAAGAAAAAAACATTCTCCGATTACTAGTGTTTCTCAGGGCTTTCATTGCAACCTGATAACAGTTCTCAAGCATACATAACATCCTGTCACCAAATCTCTAGATACTAGCAATATTCTGATTCCACAATGTCAAGCTCTTATCATACCTGGGAATCCATTTCAATCAGGTACAAGAAAACAACATCTTCTCTTTCCAACTTAATTGCTTTGTGCAAAGGGAATTGAGTTTTTGATTTAATCATTTTATACAACAGCTGAGCACTCATTGAACTGAAGTCTTCTTTTCTTAGGTCATCCTACAGAATTCAAATAAACACATTAAATTGAGCAATATATACAAGAATTGTCTGATAAGACACTTTTTTTGCTGTTGTACATGGACAACTATTTCATTCACAGCAAGTAATAAAGAAGCAAACACCTGATATATACTTGTGTATAATCATCACATATAGCCTGAAAACAGATACACTATTTAAAAGGACACTATAGTCACCAAAACAACTTTAGCTTAATGAAGCAGTTTTGGTTTATAGATCACGCCCATGCAGTTTTACTGCTCAATTCTGTGTCATTTAGGAGTTAAATCACTTTGTGTATAAAGCACTATTCACACCTTACTGCATGTGACTTACACAACCTTGCTAAACACTTCCTGGAAATTCGTATAATGTTTACACTTCCTGTATTGCAAACTCTGTTTTATTTAGAATTTTTTATCTTCTGTTCTGTTAATAGCTTGCTAAACCCTGCAGGAGCCTCCTGTATGTAACTGAAGTTCAATTTACAGAGCAAGAGATAAAAACGTTTAGAGTAAGTTACATCTGATTTAAAATGAAACCATTTTGATTTCATGCAGGCGGTGTCAGTCACAGCCAGGGGAGGTGTGGCTAGGTCTGCATAAACGGAAACAAAAGTGATTTAACTCCTACATAGCAGAGAATTGAGCAGTCAAACTTCAGATGCATGATCTATACACAAAAGCTGCTTCATTAGGCTAAAGTTGTTTTTGTGACTATAGTGCCTCTTTAACGTAATTTTGATTAAAAAAAAAAAAAAAAAAAGGAGAGGAAAATGTTTACCAAGAAAGGAACACTCGTGCATTATAAATAAATATTGAGTTTCCTTTCATTTTACTTGACAAATAAAATACAAATGTCAGCATCCCCTGAAATAAATTTTATTCCATAATGTATGTGACCCTAATATTCAAATGAACTGCTTCAATGTGCAATAGTGGATTCTCTTCCAAAAGTGCTACTGTGAATAAGTGAAGAATATTACAAAAGAGAAATGAAAGAGAAACGGTGTATACTCTGGAAATTACAGCTCCCGATTCCCTCACTCGAGTAAATGATCAACTAACGTTGTGCTGTGGCAGAAACTTAAAGAACAACTAAAGTCAACCAGATTTTTCTACAAAAGTGTAATGTTAAAACACAACTCTAGTTTCTTAGTGAATGCCTCCAGGAGATGTTTCCGCTGCATTGACTTAGAAAGGAAAGCATTGAATTCATGCACTCTTATGAAAAGCTTTGGATGCGAGCATGTGTCTTTCTCCGAATTTCTTTAAAAAAAAAATTAAAAAATTATAAATGCATGTAATAGAGGCGATGCAGCACATGATATATTGCCTTACCCAGTGACTCGCAATAATTTCTCCACAATAGTTTAACAATGTACTGGCGTTGAGCTCCTCTGCCGTCTGGTAGAAACGTATACAGTTCCTCACATTCACCAATGACATGACTCCCTTTTCACACCTGGTACAAAGATACAAATGTAAATAAGATGGTACACATGCAATAAAATGATGCATGGCCTTTACATGTTAGCTATACACAAGCTCTTGTTTAGTGGCATCATATCCATGTACTTTATTTTTATTTTACATTTTTTATTATATATTTATGTTCAACTCACTGACATGAAGGAATAGTTTCATACATTACAAGGACATATTTGTAATAAGTAAAACATAATGCATATGCTTACAAAATAACACTTTTTAATGAAAGCAAGGACAAAAGTTAGGTGGACTGGCGAGTGGGGAGATGTCAACGTTGGTGGTATTTTCCCCACCTAGGATATCTTGGAGCACTAAGTAAAAATGCCAGGTAGAAATAAAATAATAAAAAGTGTATTTAAAAAGCTGATTGGCACAAATAAGTGACCAAAGAACTTTATTTAGCTTTAAAATACACAAAATTCAAACATCCAAACGCGTTTCGTCATAACAGACTTCAAGTGAATTAAAAAAAATACCACCAACGCTGACATCAAAGAGCAGTTTGCCTGCTCTACACTTGAGTATTATTTTATTTGTTTATTACTGACAATTCTATAATAGTGAGCACTATCAGTTGTCTCTTTACCTTTTTTTTGAGTGTTGGATACATCCCTGACGGAAAACATCTACTATATATACCATAAGCGGGGATTATACCTAGTTATAGCTCTTGTAAATGTGAGTTGACTACCATCTTTTCTATATAGCGAATATATTGGATTGTACATATTGCACTACTTGTCCCTCCTACTTTTTGTCTTTCATATTATTGGATCTACCTGGACAAAGACACTCAGGACATTATTCCCGGTTAAGCACATTACCTACCATTTGATCTGAGTGAGATCCTTCTTTTTCTACTCTTATTTACTGTATATTCGGACTTTCTTTTATTTGTGACTCTTTTCTTGGACATTGTTTTTTAACTCCCTACATTGTTTTTTATCTCCTTATATTATATTTTGTTCGGCCCTTATTCCTCTTTCTGCCATCTACTTCTGTTTTTTTTTTAAGGGTTTGAAGGATTTCCCTTTTTAGGGTTGCTTTGTTAATTAGCGCTGGCCCCTCCTCTGTTGTTGCTCTGTTATTGCCTGCTGTTTTTGACGTGTGCACAATTCGTTTTCAAGTAATTCTGTGTTTGGTTTGCCAACGCCATTTCCACTGTCCCGAAGAGACCAACCAGGCCTGTGATCTCAGTGCTGTGCGATGCCACATCTGCTTGTAGTGTTTTCTGGAGATCAGTAAGCATCTCCTTGAGGATGGCAGTCGTCACAGGCATAGAGTCTGTACTCTGTGGGACTGTCTGAGGCTGGTAAGTAATCAAGATCGGCGGCCATCTTGGGCCCAAACACGCCATACGCTTGTCTGAGGAAGCCTTAAATATTCACTCCCAACCTGGGCTTGTCTGGCTCCTGGTTTTTGTCTTTTGACCCATATAGGCAAGAGTGGCAAAACCCCTGTTTTCGGGCTTCGGAGTGACTTAATAGCACCATGATACAACGGTTAGGTACAGAGCCCATCGAGGGAGAATACAACCTTTTTAGGAGCTTGGCTCCTACCCCATGTACTTTATTATAAAACACCAATAGGTATCATATGTAAAATAAATGAAAAATAGTCCCTGGCTTCCAAGACCCAGAACCTCTGCAACAGATTAGATAATACAGAAGATTGCATTCTGTATTATTCCTCCAACCTAATATAGCAATTATAGGTCTGGAGTGCTGATTAACCTGCAACATTCACTTGAACCCAACCACTTCCATAGAATGCTGGACAGTTTTGGCTGAAAAATGAGGAAGTGAATATTCCTCTTTATATTGGAGGCTCGAGAAGAGCAAGAGAGAGTTCAAGGTGGTTTGACAGAAAATGGGGGCCAAAATCATGACAGGTGTTATGATGCTTAAAGAGTCACTTTAATTCTTCTTTTAATTCTAGTTATGGATAAAGCACATAGGTAGGAGTGTATTTTTAGATTTATAAGAAATGGTCTGTACCATTATCTACTCTTTTCTCTCTTTGTCACGGAGAAATAAGCTTCATTAGTATTGTTATATTATATTGGTCAATTTTGGTCTGAAGAAAGCATTTCTCCCATATCCACATGTGAATGTATATCTAACACTACATTACCTTTTTTAAAAAAAAATGATTATTCTTTAATTAAATTTGCAGAAACCATTGAACAGACCATCACAAAGACTATACTTAATGACATTTGTTACAGGGAGTTTATGAGTATCGGAAATGGTGGGAACGACAAAGAGTGGGGTTAAAGGATGATGGTGGCATTTCTCAGTGGGTCCCTAACCATAACAACTCCGAGCCATCTGTTCCAGAATACGGTCTCTCCTCCCATGGCTGCCACGCTTTGGAAAATAATTTAATGGAGTGCCTAACGTGAGCAGTACGTTTTTCCATTAGGTAGATATCTTTGATTTTTCTTTTCTATCACTACCGTAATTGCAGGGGATATTCTTATACATGCTTTGAAGGATTCAGTGTGGATCCTCGGATACGATTGCTGCATAGGGAAATATACAGGGAGTGCGGAATTATTAGGCAAGTTGTATTTTTGAGGATTAATTTTATTATTGAACAACAACCATGTTCTCAATGAACCCAAAAAACTCATTAATATCAAAGCTGAATATTTTTGGAAGTAGTTTTTAGTTTGTTTTTTAGTTTTAGCTATGTTAGGGGGATATCTGTGTGTGCAGGTGACTATTACTGTGCATAATTATTAGGCAACTTAACAAAAAACAAATATATACCCATTTCAATTATTTATTATTACCAGTGAAACCAATATAACATCTCAGCATTCACAAATATACATTTCTGACATTCAAAAACAAAACAAAAACAAATCAGTGACCAATATAGCCACTTTTCTTTGCAAGGACACTCAAAAGCCTGCCATCCATGGATTCTGTCAGTGTTTTGATCTGTTCACCATCAACATTGCGTGCAGCAGCAACCACAGCCTGCCAGACACTGTTCAGAGAGGTGTACTGTTTTCCCTCCTTGTAAATCTCACATTTGATGATGGACCACAGGTTCTCAATGGGGTTCAGATCAGGTGAACAAGGAGGCCATGTCATTAGATTTCTTCTTTTATACCCTTTCTTGCCAGCCACGCTGTGGAGTACTTGGACGCGTGTGATGGAGCATTGTCCTGCATGAAAATCATGTTTTTCTTGAAGGATGCAGACTTCTTCGTGTACCACTGCTTGAAGAAGGTGTCTTCCAGGAACTGGCAGTGGGACTGGGAGTTGAGCTTGACTCCATCCTCAACCCGAAAAGGCCCCACAAGCTCATCTTTGATGATACCAGCCCAAACCAGTACTCCACCTCCACCTTGCTGGCTTCTGAGTCGGACTGGGGCTCTCTGCCCTTTACCAATCCAGCCACGGGCCCATCCATCTGGCCCATCAAGACTCACTCTCATTTCATCAGTCCATAAAACCTTAGAAAAATCAGTCTTGAGATATTTCTTGGCCCAGTCTTGACGTTTCAGCTTGTGTGTCTTGTTCAGTGGTGGTCGTCTTTCAGCCTTTCTTACCTTGGCCATGTCTCTGAGTATTGCGCACCTTGTGCTTTTGGGCACTCCAGTGATGTTGCAGCTCTGAAATATGGCCAAACTGGTGGCAAGTGGCATCGTGGCAGCTGCACGCTTGACTTTTCTCAGTTCATGGGCAGTTATTTTGCGCCTTGGTTTTTCCACACGCTTCTTGTGACCCTGTTGACTATTTTGAATGAAACGCTTGATTGTTCGATGATCACGCTTCAGAAGCTTTGCAATTTTAAAAGTGCTGCATCCCTCTGCAAGATATCTTACTATTTTTGACTTTTCTGAGCCTGTCAAGTCCTTCTTTTGACCCATTTTGCCAAAGGAAAGGAAGTTGCCTAATAATTATGCACACCTGATATAGGGTGGTGATGTCATTAGACCACACCCCTTCTCATTACAGAGATGCACATCACCTAATATGCTTAATTGGTAGTAGGCTTTCGAGCCTATACAGCTTGGAGTAAGACAACATGCATAAAGAGGATGATGTGGTCAAAATACTCATTTGCCTAATAATTCTGCACTCCCTGTACACAGTTGTCTTCACACATTTGGCACATCGATATTTTATTTTTTTTGGTGCACTAATTGTGCAATGGAATATAATTTGGGACCCTATCAAAAAAATAAAACAAAACTATGAGCCACACAAAAATGAATTGTTATTGTGTTACTGGTTGCCACAAGGAAAGAAAAGCCCATAAGATAGTCACTCTAGAATGGAGCATAGGTTCTGCAGTACCTATACAAATACAAAAGAAAACACTGCTACTGTTACACCAGCCCCATGTTGCTTAGAAATCGAAAAAAAAAAACCACGAGGGCAACGTTACATTCATGCAAAATGTATTCAAGGACATCAATATAATTTCAGTTTCTACCCTTTTAGAATTCAAAATGCCCCATTTTTAGCAAATGTTGTGCCCATTCACAAGTAAGGTAGTAGGGAGGAGTCGGGTAACTATAGGCCAGTAAGCCTTACTTCAGTAGTGGGGAAAGTAATGGAAACCATGTTAAAGGATAGGATTGTTGAACATCTAAAAACACATGGATTTTAAGATCAGAGACAACATGGGTTTACTTCAGGGAGATCATGCCAAACTAATCTTATTGATTTTTATTGATTGGGTAACTAAAATAATAGATCAGGGTGGTGCAGTAGACATTGCTTACCTAGATTTCAGTAAGGCTTTTGACACTGTTGCACATAGACGGCTTATCAATAAACTGGAATCTTTAAGTTTGGATTACAATATTGTTGAATGGCTAAGGCAGTGGCTGAGTGACAGGCAACAGAGGGTTGTAGTCAATAGAGTATATTCGAAGCATGGTCTTGTCACCAGTGGGGGATCTGTACTTGGACCCATTCTCTTTAATATTTTTATTAGTGATGTTGCAGAAGGTCTTGATGGTAAGGTATGTCTTTTTGCTGATGATACTAAGATATGTAACAGGGTTGATGTTCCAGGATGAATAAGCCAAATGATTTAGGTAAACTAGAAAAATAGTCAGAGTTGTGGCAACTGACACTTAATATGTGCAAGATAATGCATCTTGGACGTAAAAACCCAAGGGCAGAGTACAGAATATTTGATAGAGTCCTAACCTAAACATATGAGGAAACAGATTTAGGGGTGATTATTTCTGATAATTTAAAGGTAGCAGACACTGTATTGGAGCAGCAGGAAATGCTAGCAAATGCTTGGTTGTATAGAGAGAGGTATTAGTAGTAGAAAGAGGGAATTGCTCATGCCATTGTACAGAACACTGGTGAGACCTCACTTGGAGTATTGTACGCAGTACTGGAGCCCATATCTTCAGAAGGATATTGATACATTAGAGAGAGTTTAGAGAAGGGCTACTAAATTGGTTCATGGATTGCGGGACAAAACTTACCAGGAAAGGTTAAAGGATCTTAACATGTATAATTTGGAGGAAAGACGAGACAGGGGGGATATGATAGAAACATTTAAATACATAAAGGGAATCAAAACAGTAAAGGAGGATACTATATTTAAAAGAAGAAAAACTACCACAGCAAGAGGACATAGTCTTAAATTAGAGGGACAAAGGTTTAAAAATAATATCAGGAAGTATTACTTTACTGAGAGGGTAGTGGATGCATGGAACAGTCTTCCAGCTGAAGTGGTAGAGGTTAACACGGTAAAGGAGTTTAAGCATGCATGGAATATGCATAATGCTATTCTAACTATAAGATAAGGCTAGGGACCAATGAAAGTATTTAGAAAATTGGGCAGACTAGATGGGCCGAATGGTTCTTATCTGCCGTCACATTCTATGTTTCTGTGTTTCATTTGCACTGAAAAAAGGGAGAAACGCTTGTTATAGTAACAATACATTTTCCGTAGAAGTTTGTGCCATTTTGCATACATATAGCGCTGTCCTTGTGTTTTTTCATGTGTCTAGATTTAACAATAATTTGAAAAATGGGGGCTCTATGCAGGCTCTCCTTCTGTGTTTATAGCTGTGTACGTTGGTGTGTGAAAAATCTAAAATGACAGACAAAGGCAAAAAAAAAAAAAAAAACAACGGGTCTGCTTTAATGCACTGCAAAAAGAACAATAATGTTATCACAACACTTGCAGGATAATAACTGGTTGTCCATCCATCCTTTAAAACCATTGCCATTACCTTTCCCGCAGGGGTTGAAGTTGAAAACGATTTGCAAGCTTCATCAGCTCTGTTAAGAAGATATCATCTTCTTTCAAATCCAACTCATCAGTGTAGACCCACTGCAGCATTGCCATGGTCACCTCTGTATTCGAATCTGGGGGTAGAGAGGCCAAGCTTCATTCCTGATAAACATCTGTATAGTACTGCAAATGGTAGGTTACACATCACAACCAGGGCAGCTATTCAACCCAAAGCAATATAGTGATACTAATACTACTATAAGTAATTTAACCAAGGAGATTATCACATCCTCAAGGTCTCTGCACTGCCACCTGCACTAACACTGCAAAATCAGCTATTATCAAACAGTTATGCAGAGAAATGTCCCTACATATGTAATAAATGTTCTCTTCCCACAAATTCCTGATGATTTGCAGAGCGTGATATCACATTTTGCTCCTCTAAAAAAAGAGATCCCTGCAATTGTCATCAACTAGTTCCAATAAGGATTAGCATGACTCAATACTAATATGTTGTGCAGCATGCTGTGTGCAAATCTGAACAACTAGACCTATACGCAAGCACATCTCATCCAGAAGAATGCAAAGTAATTACTCCTATGCACTCAATGGACTTTGAAATATGAAAATGTGACTTAACTTGGTAGACAAAAAAATAAATACATTTAAAAAAAAAAAAAAAATACATACATACAGAGTCACTGTAAGTACCATAACAGCTAAAGTTCATCGTGGTGGTTATGCTGCCATAGGTTTTTGAACAATGTTCATCTGTTTTCAGTAAAATTGATTTATACTAACTTTTAAAACATCATTTTTATTCTATTTCAAACATGTGCCTTTCCCTGCAGTATAACCTAGACCAGAGACAGGCAACCTTCGGCACTCCAGATGTTGTGACATCACCCATAATGCAGGCAAAGCATCACGGGAGGTGTAGTCCAAAACATCTGGAGTGCCGAAGGTTGCCTATGCCTGACCTAGACCCTCAATCTGCATTAACTGTCCAACATTTGACAGCAATTATAGGCTGCAAGTTATGGGCTAACATGTGCCCAATGATTTTTGCATGTTTACAAAATCATGCACAGAAGAGAATAAAAAAACAAATGACCAGGAAAAAACAAAACAAAAACACTCACCTGAGAGGTCTATCTCTTTAGTTGAGGCTAGGTTGGCCAGACTCCAAGTCTCACTTCTTGCAGCCAGCACAAACTTGTGAGCACTAATCATTTGGTCACCAACTTTTATTTTAAGATCACTGCATTTAATATGAGAGGGGAGAGGGGAGAAGACAAAAACAGAAATAACTGAGGCTTTGATAGAACATCAGCCATTTGTCAATCCCAGTGTCACTTATTTTTAATGCATAAAAAAAATAAAAAAAAGTTATTCACCTTTAAAGTTCAGAAGCTTTTGGTATATGGGGCTTTCTCGTATGCCATACATTCCTCTTCAGTAGGGGTTTAAAGCATATGTAGTTCAGTCCAGAGGGTTAGTTCCATTAATCAGATAGGATGAGTGAAACTTCTGAATAGGCCAACAGCAGCTATACTAAAGTGATCAGTACTCTATTTAAACCCTCATTCACAGTTTTGGCAATGGAACAGTGTACAGAGTTTGCCAGAGCTTGACCTGTCTTGAGACTAATAGGAGAGGTGGGACCTTAGACAGTGTACCCCTACACAAAGTGCGCTCCATACAAATACCTGGATAGCCAACTATTTCTATTAGTCTGACAAAATGGAAAGGCTAATAGATGTAGTGATTTATGCAAACTACCGCAATTATAAATAACATAACTATAACAAAGGTTAAAGAGACATAAAATCTCTTGCAATGGGCACGTATTATAGCATTTGAACCTCTAAACTACATGTTGTAGCACAAATGAACATAGAAAGTGAACAAAAACCTAATATTTAATTTTGATTTAAAAAAAAAAAAAAAAGGGGGGGGGGTGAATTTACCAAATGACACAATAACAAAGTGTAACAGGAACAATAGGTAGTTGAGGACCCTGCTCACACAAGCTTACAGTCTAGAGGAGGTGGGGTATAAAAACACAACATGAAGGGTATTGAGGGAGACGGCAAATAGACGTGGTAGGAAAGTAGCAGAACTGGAGGCGAGAGTGGAGTGGTGGCCCTTGAGGAGAGAGCAAGAGAGGGGTTTGAGAGAGAGAAGTTACTCTTGGAGGTATAAGCAATCCTGAAAAGATGGGTTTTGAGGGACTTCTTAAAGACTAGAGGAGAGTCTGACAGGGGTAGGCAGGCTACTCCAAAGAAAAGGAGCCCGTGAGAAGTCTTGTAGGCGTGAATTTGCAGTAAGGGTGCGAGCAGCAGACAGGAGGTGGTCACCAGTAGAGCGGAGAGACCGAAAGGGGGCATATACCTGTGAATCAGTGAAGATACGTAAGAGGGGCTAGAGTTGGTTAGAGATTTATAGGTAAGGGTTAGTATTTTTAATTGACACCTGAAGGGTACAGGAAGCCAGTGTAAGGATCAACAGAGGTGAGAGGAGCGACGGGGGAGAAAGAACAGCCTGGCAGCAGCATTCATCACAGATTGTAGGGGAGCAGTATGGCTTCTGGGGAAACCAATTAGGAGAGAATTACAGTAATTTATAGGAGAATTTACTAGAGCATGAACAATCTCCTTGGCAGCATCTTGCATAAAAAAGTGGCGTATGCGGGCAATGTTTTTAAGGTGGAATCAACAGGTTTTAGCAACAGTCCGGACATGAAGCGCAAAGGTGAGGCCAGGATCAAAAATGACAAGAAGACAATGAGCTTGAAAGGATGGGGTGAGGCAGGTACCATCAACCTGCAGGGAGAGTGAAGGAGGGAGATCAGTGTTATGAGGAAGAAAAATAAGAAACTCAGTTTTAGAGAGATTGAGTTTCAGAAAGCTGGAGGACATCAATTCAGAGATAGAAGAAAGGCAATAGGCAACACGTTGTAGGACAGCAGGGGAGAGGAGAGATATATCTGGGTGTTGTCAGCGTACAGGTGGTAGTGGAATCCAAATTAATGAGTTTGCCAAGAGAGGCAGTAAGAGAGAGAACAAAAGGGGACCAAGAACTGAATCTTGAGGAGACAGGATGAGGAGGAGGTGTAATTGGATAAAGAGAAACTGAAAGAGCATTGGGAGAAATAGGAGGAAAACCATGAGAGGGCTGTGTCACAGAGACTAAGAGATTAAAGAGTTAGGAGTAGGAGGACATGATCAACAGTGTCAAAGGCAGCAGAGAGGTCAAGAAAAATAAGTACGGAGTAGTGGCCTTTGGATTTAGCAGCAATTAGATCATTTGTAACTTGAGTAAGCGCAGTCTCGGTGGAGTGGGCGGAACGCAGACTGAAGAAGGTCGAGGAGAGAGTTGGAATTGAGGAAGCAAGTCAGACGGGTAAAGACAAGCCTTTCCAAAAGCTCTGAGGAAAAAGGGAGCAGGTATTTGGGACGATAGTTGAAAGGGGAAGTTGGGTCAAGAGATGGCTTTTTGAGTACAGGTACAACAGTAGCATGTTAAAGGGGAGCTGGGACAACACCAGAAGAGAGCAGTTGAGGATGTGCGTTAATGACTGCACCAGACAAGGGGCGAGAGATCTGATGAAGTAGGATGGGATGGGATCAAGCGGACACGTGGTGGGACAAGAGGAAAGGAGAAGTGCAGCCACCTCCTGTTCAGTAGCTGGAGAAAAGTCTTGGAGGGTAGTGATGGCATGGTCCAAGTGAGGTTGAGATAGAGAGGGGAGAATTCATTTAACAGTTTAATCTTGTCAAAGTAACATGCAAAGCTATCAGCTGAAAGATTAGTTTGTGGGGTGGCCACAGCATGGCGAAAAAGAGAGTTAAAGGTATGAAAAAGATGCCTATTGTTGCGGGAGCATGAACTAATGAGAGAGGAAAGTAGGACTGTTTAGCAAGGGTGAGGGCCGTGCTGTATGAACGCAAGACAAATGTATAATGTAGAAAGTCTGACAAGGTGCGAGACTTCCTCCAGCAGCCTTCAGCTGAACGGGAGCATCTCTGCAGGTAGCTGGTTGACTTAGTGTGCCACAGATGGAGGCGCGTTCTCCTTGAGCTGCGTGCTTGGAGCGGGGCTGCAGCGTCTAGGGCAGAGGTGAGGGCAGCATTATATGAAGAGATAGCCAGAGAGGGACAGGAGAAGGGTATATATGTCACAGTACCTTAATATCGATGGGTCCTACACAAAGTTTAATATTTATAAGTAGTGTTACGGGCGTGCCTCCAATACCAATTTTTCTGTTTCCAAATCTGTATTTTGTAATGTATTTTGGTCTTTAAAGCAGAACAATTACTTAAAAATGCATGTTCCGGGTGTGCCCCCAATTCATCTTTTTTCTATGTATGTTTTGATTCCAGCCCTGATTCCTATTAGGCTGAGAATCCTCACCCATCCACCATCCCTTTGGGAGTGACCATAAGAAAGCATAAATTGTGGAGCGTCTCTGGAAGCCGTTTAAGCAGTAAGTATTGCTGTTAGAATGTTATTTTCCCATGTTAAATTTAGTGTAACTGAATATGGCCATATAGTGTAACTGAAAACTCATATTTGTTTTCAAAAATTGGTCATTTGAAGAAACTAGTCAAATGTAAAACTATTTTTTGCTGTGTGCTGTTCACTAATCAGTATTTTGTTTACTTTACATTAGGAAATGCCTAGTACTAAAGTGACACACGAGTTTGTAAACAAATGTTTGATTGAAATCAGATAATTTCTGAAGGGATACAACAAGAAGCACTTAAAAAGGTGGGTTTGCAAACCTAGAGGGTAATAAAGTGAATTAATCTTCAAATATTTCAATCAGAATAAAAATAAAATTAATTTAAAAAAATATATATTTATTTTTTGTATTAGAATATATAAATATTTTGTATCCCTTAGAGCCTAGTAAACAACAGCTGTTTACAATGGAACTATTTCGACCGTAAAGGAGTCTACTAAACAACTGGACAAGCCTGAAATTATATGTATCCTTATTATCAATTATATGCAAGATAATAATTTGTAAGCATTTCCATTTTCCTTAGTTTAATTTATTACTTAGATTTATTTGATGCAATCATACAAATAGTAACCATTTATCAATTTAAAAATAAATTTAAAAAAATTAAAAACATACTGACAGTTCAAAGGACTACTCTACACCCATTAAGCATGTCAGCTTGCTAAAGAGCTTATTGGCTGAGGAGTATCCAATTTTAATTCCAGTTTATACAAGTGCCAATTTCTATGAGAAATTAAAATGTTTACAATTAAATTATGAAACACCTCCATGGATGTCACTCAGACAGGCAGTCAGGTTTGCCTCCACTTTCCATTAACTCCCCAGAGCTAATGGAAGTGGCAGCCAAGCTCTTCTTGAATGTGTCTGTTTCCTCCCTCATTCCTTCTCAGAGACTTGACAACAGACCAGAGTTCTTGCTAAACGATGTTGCACTGTGCACACGGAGGGACTGATTCAGAGGTTTCTTATTAAGACGACTCTGGTTATTTCCGCATGAAGAGACTGAAAGTGTTTTCCGGGAAAGAAGGGGAGTTCTTGGTTCTTGCAAAGGACAAAGTCATAAGAACTGCAGTTTTTGCAAAGTCTTTTTAGATAACATACAGCAAAAAAAAATAAAAAAAATTTTGCTTGTATGCTTTCATTAGGGGTATATCTACAAAATAGTGATTCCTCACTCCCATTTTTTGAATGGAGTGTTCTTTTAAGTCACTGCCAAAGTGTAAATATGGGAAGTGCAATAAAAAATGTACACAAATGTTGTGTCAGCAATGTCAGCTGTGAAATAATATGAAAGTTTAGGCACAGAATTTGCAAAATTGCAAAATCAATTGACTAGACAACACTGTAAGTCATTAAATGTGCTCCTCTGTCAGTAACAGAAAGCTAAACTACAACTACTAGTAGTAGTACGACTAGTAGAAATAAATGTGTCTTATGTCAACACAAAACACAATCACATGTCAGTGAGTGGATCCTAGTGAAATAATGTACCTGAATTATCTACAACAACTTACCATAGCAAGTGTCGTTATTACAATAAATTGTCACTGTCGCGATTTTGCACAAATAGCTAATTAAAAGTGAGGTTTTATGTTACTAAAAACATTCAGTAGTTTTAACTTTGTATAAAATGGCATGTAAATTACATTAACAACTGCAGCACATCACAGACCGCAATACTATAGCAATTTATGAGAGAGTATATACTTGCAGCACTAATGAATGCACAAGGAGTATCAATGTTGGCCTGAACATGCAAGTGCTGCAGAGATTATTTTATTTTTTCTTACCTCCTCAGTACAATTAAACAGCACTTATTGGGTTGAGGGGACATGGAACTATCACTTCTCTAGAACTGACAGCTTGGCTTTGAAGAGGATTAATTAACGCGTTGTGTAATGCGAATGTGAAAGCCAAAGGGCTATGAAGTCAACAGGAGTCAAGAGCTGATGAAGGCACAGAGTTGGTGTATTTGTGTTGCTTGATCTTCAGTTTAATAATTTGTGTTTGCGCATTTTGCAACATTTTACAAGACTGGAAAGATGTAAGAAAAAACAAAAAAACAACTGTTCAATAATGTATTATTAAAAACTAGAAAATGATAGACATCTAATATTAGCATGTTGTGCTATATGTCTAGAAGGCCTGACTAATGTTAAGTATACAAAAAGCTCTCAACTAGCTTTTCCTGTACTCAAGGAAATGAGGAATCTGGTTTTCGGTCACATCCTGTGATAAAACATGAATATTTCCGAAAGCGCATAACAGGAACTAACTGAAACAGCAAGCTATGCAAAGATAGTGGTAAGGACACAGAGAAAGAGCATGCAATCAATTTTTTTTATAGCTGAAGACCATTAAGGCTGAGCTTTAATTACATTCCCTGCACTACTATACACAAGTCTTCTCAATGCTGCATTACTAGGACAGGATATATGCAACACACACATTAAAGGGTTACTCCAACTCTTTTTTTTTTTTTTTTTTTAATGTACAATGCCCTATTGGGTACTAGTAATTGGGACCTTTAATCAGCATATGTGCTCTCTGAGCCGGCAAGCAGAGGTGATGGGGAATGGGTGGAGAGGGAATGCAGAGAGGGAGAGCGTGCCTCCCCTCTACTCTTCAATCCTTTAAGAAGTCCCTAAAAGTCCAAACCTTCAGAATATAGTATGGACTTCCTTACTCTCTTAGTTAGTCGGTCCATACTCCACTTCACGCTCACATTCCAATTCTGCTGCTTCTCACTTGGTTGCTATACTTCACGCTCCCTTTCCTCCTGTGTTTTTATACCCCTCCTCCACTTGATTGCAAGCTTGTTTGAGCAAAATCCACATCAACCTGTTGTTCCGCTCAAAATTTGTAATAGTTTGTCTCATTTTCTATTTAAGTCCACTTTATAATATCGTAAAGAGCTGCAAAATCTGTTGGTGTATAGTCAATGCCAATAATAATAATAATAATAATAATGATAATATGGTTAGCCGCAAAAGAGAGATTTATTAAAGGCAGTTTTAAAGTATAGGAGCATTTCATAAACAGTTACATATATTAAGGCCTAAGTAAAATCTAAATTTCTAACACTGAAACAGTTAAATGTCAGAATGTAACAAATGCACCTCCGAATTTTTAGAAATAGAAAGATTTTGTGCAAGCCTGTGAATTGAGGCATGAGATGTCCATTCTGAAAAGCCTTGGGGATTATAACTGAGAATGGAAGAGACAGCCTCTTGTATTCTCAAAACGTGCTGCTAGACCCCCTTCCCCCCAGCTCGTGAACACTCCCTTCCTCCAACACACAGAGTGATGCATCTGCAGGGAAGTGGGATGAACTTGTGGGGAATTTGATGTAACAACTTTGTTGTTTATGCTATGAACTTGGCCACATAAAAACAACTCTGTAAACCATTACAACTCTGACTTTTGTTGTCACAAATGGGTAACAACAATACAATTATAAATATTGGCAATCTTACATGCACAACAATTCAAATTACAGTGACTGAAGTAAAAAGCCACAGGAATGAACAGTATACAGCAGTGGTAGCCAACCTTTTTCTACCTACCGCCCACTAATGCATCACTCTGACTCCCTGGTCTTCCTCCCGCGTGGCTCTCAGTGTTAGCTGGGAGGAGTGACATGCAGTCACTTCCTCCCAGCTCAGTGATGTAATCACAGGGGGCCCGGTCGCGCTGTTACAATCCACATCCATCGGATGGCCCTGACAGAATGGGCCACCCGATGGAACCCTCCATATGCAGCACCGGCGGTTTGCCGCGCGGGCCGGGGCCGCAAATGGTGATGGCGGTACCCGGTCGCAGGGGTACCGCCGGCTCGCACCCGCCCGCCCAGTCTCTCAAAATTAGAAAATCCCTACCGCCCACCTGGAATCCTGAAACGCCCACTAGTGGGCGGTAGGGACCAGGTTGACGACCCATGGTATACAGAATGGTAAAATCAATACCCCATTGACTTGACTTAAAAGAATTTTCATATTTCTGCTTTAGTTTAAATCGGAATGGTATTGTTATAGAGCTCAGCCTGGCATCTATAACTGAATGTGTAATCTTTTGATATTCCTATCTTAGAACTGTTGTTTTATACTTTACTTGGAAAGAAAATAGCACAATAGTGGTATACTATTGGAAACTATGGAACCACAAAGTAGGAGAAACAGCTTGCTTTATTTTTATTTTCATCTATCTTTTAAGAAAGTATGCACACTGTAGGAAGTGTAATTGCATACACATGTTCAGCTTTCCAGAGCGTGAGCGTCATTGGTAGGAGAAGGTGATGTATTGTTGGAGTGAGGTAAGTAAGAAAGGGAATCAAAAGACAAAGTTAACATATAATGCAGAGCTTGAATAAAGCTCCACCTTTTGACAACCTCCACCTTTAGTTCCTACTTTTCATAATGTATACATTTATAAAACAATGTAACTTCAGTGGAATAAAAACTAGGCTTCCCTGGGCACACTGTGAAGTACTACAAATCAAAAAACAAAAAAAGTGACAGACGCTTTAAATAAATATAAATTGGCTAAAAGGAACACTTTAATCCCCTATAGCACTTGGAATTACTAAATTGCTTTAGAAGTTAGCAGCATCCTTGCATTTTCATTTTCTAAAATTACAGTTCGCAAGAAAAATGCATTTGTATGAACTTTTTCAGACAAACTTAGACTACAACATAAGTGTCAAACCGTTTATAAATGGTTTGACAGCTTACTTGCACACAGTATGTAAAAAAAACAGTAGAGACTGAGAAGAGGTGCACTCTGCTAGCTGCTCAGGCCAAACCAGAAGGCGGTGTACTGTAGTGGTTATGGGGCTTGGAGTGTCCCTTTAATTAATGCTAAAACTTGAAAGAGAGAGTGTGCAGAGTTTAACATGAGATTTAACATACCTTAAAAGGCTAAACAGATAAACATTACTAGAAGCAGGCAGTTTCTGGCTAAAAATAAAAATTTAAATTATAATGTATGAAACAAGGTAAATTAGGTATAATTAAAGGGGCTCTGTCAGCACCACACCCCCTCCGTTTATTGTGACCAAGTATTTTGTTATCTTGAAAATAAAAGTGTGTTTTCAGGCTACGTTTCTAACTATTTGGTCCAATGCGGTTTCACTGTCCTTTTTCTACGCAAAAATGCAAATTTTATTCCGTAAGTACAAAGCATAAAAACAGAAAGAGGCTCACCTACCTGTACTGCTCCTGTTTAAAGAGCTGGGCCACGATTGCAAGAAGACGACTGATGAAAGAGTCACCCGAAACCTCCTTGTTGGCCTGAGCAGCTAGCAAAGTGCATCTCTTCTCAGTCTCTGCCAGTTTCTGCTGCATTTTCACATATTCCTGGCGAAGAAGAGCCAGATGTTTCTGCAACTTGCCCACTTCCTCTGTAACATACAAGAAAATACATACCACATTTATATGGCGCCAACATATCAGCAGAACTTTACAATTATACAGTGTATATATTTATATCAGTAATGGAAACACAAAATACTGTTGACTGATACAAGTTGTCCACCTTTCAATGAGGTTTCAATCTAGGCAGAATTGAGAGAAAGAAAAGAAAGAGGAAGAAAAATGCTGACAGAATGTTTGGATAAAAGGGCCATCATTGTGATGATGTGTCTAGTTACACTTGTAAATGTGGTGTGTGAGGAATCAGAGTGGAATTTTAGAATGTGATGTGGACTGTGTAGTTGTGAAAATCATAAGCAGGGTTTTCAATAAATAGATGTTTAAGGGATGTATTAAAGCAATGGAGGCAAGGGGAACGTCAGATAGGTAACATTATGTAATTACATAAGAATGGTGTGGCCCTTGAGAAATCCTGTAGTTGATAGCAGGAAAAGAGATTGTCACAGGATAATGAAGTGATTGAGCAAAGGTGTAAATGTGACTTAAAGAGGAATCCATATGAATTGATAAAGGCTCTATAAGAGCAAAAATGTTGCTGTACTTTGTTCCCTGTACTTTGTACTTTGAAACACCTTGGTGTGCCTGGGTTCTCTCTCCTGTATATTGAAGATCTGACTTCCCTTCCTGTAGCACCCTTGGGCAGATACCCACAGCTCTGGACATGTGCACTCCCAGTTTATTTTTTTTATTATGCAAGGAGACCCTGTCAATGCCTTACTTCAGAAGCCTGAAGCCCAAAAATCAATAGATTTAAAGAGCTGCATACAGCTCACCAGTCAGTCCAGAGCCACTAAAAATACCTGCCCTATGTCAACTGGTGCAATTTTAGTGGGGTAAGCAGAGATTTAACCTAATTGCAGCAACAGGGATTTGAATGCCTATTTAAAGTGCTGCATGCACCACTCAATTTGAACACTGCATAAAGATCATCTGTCAGTCTGGGGGCACTAAAAATTGTCCCAACTGGCAGAGGGGAGCCACAGATATTGATGGATACCTGGGACTCCCTGGTGTGAGCAGGGACCCTGTTCACACCAAAATGTTAGGACATGCAAATAAGCCATTATAGTGTTAAAGCTCAGTTTAGTTGTGATATCCAAGTGCAACTACATAGGCACAAGGTGTTTCCTGGCCATGATCAAATTAAAGCAACACTTGGTTAATTAATGCAATTATGTACATAGGAATATGCACAGAACTGACAAGAGCCAGCCTGAAACAAGATAATGACGAGGCAGGAGGTGGAGTAACGTGTCTGGCAACAGATAGGTTAATACTGCACACAGACTCCAGGCATAATGACCACTGCAAATCACTGATGGGATCATGGTGCTTGGAGTAACCTTTTATCTGCAGCCTCTTAATAGTGATGCGGCAGTGCACAGAGTTTATAAATCTGACAGTTCCTTCTACCTGCACTTTGTGTGCGACTCATATCTAATATCTCCACAGAGAATTAAACGGCTAGTGACTGATTTAAACTCACTCATAAATCTGTCCGTTCCAAACTACCTGTCCGCACAATGTGCAAATGCAAGGAACAGATTTCAAATGTAACTTTTTGTAAAATGCAAGAATTAGGACACACTCTTCACACCTGAAACACTTCAGGTGAAGGTCATAAGGGGTTTGGAGTGTCCCTTTAACCCTTTGTGGTACCTGGCTTCTGATATGCGATCTACCAACCCTGGTTGTAGGCTGAATGTGGGGCTCTCTGCACTGGACAGCCAGCCAACCATCAGTACAAAATCTGGCCACCTGATTGTCCATTGTTCCTACTGCTACCCGTACCCCTTATCATTCTTTTTATTTTTAATACTAAAAAAAATTTAAATTACCACCCTCACACAGCTGGCTCTTTGAGAGACAATATATATAGTCACCACAACCACTACAGCTTAATGTACTTGTTGTGTCCATAGCTTGGCCCTGCAGCCTGAGCAGTGTAAACACTGCCTTTTCAGATAAAAGGCAGTGTTTAGATCACTACTGGCAGTCACTAAGATTACTACAGGTGTTTCCAATCTACTAGCATTCAGCATCTCCACGCTTTGCAAGGAAGCACTGTATGTTCCCCTTAGAAATGCATTGATTCAATGCATCTCTATGAGACTATGCTGTTTTGTGCAGCGTTGTGTTTTGCAGCTAATGTGCAATAGCCTCCTAATGCTTTTCTATGGGAAAGCATTCAAGTGGCTGAGATTATCACGGTATGAGAAAAAGGTGAGTAAAAGCACATTTCCCACTTGAGGGGGCCAGAAACCTTAATAGTTAAACACTATAGTGTCAGTAATAAATGTATGTATTCCCGACACTATAGTGTTCCTTTAACATTGACACCTGGCCTAATAGTGGCCATTTGCAATCTAAGGTTTTACTGGTGAGGAAGCTCTGTAATGCATTGATGCACATAACTGGGAGACTTATTGCTTGCAGCCCCTTACTGTGATTTTTTTTTTTCCCTTGAGGAACTCTGTGATGCACTCATGCACATTGCATGTGAGTTTTATTGTAGGTGGAGCTCTATGATACAGTAGTACAGTGTGCATGAATGTAGGTGCTAATGTGGCAGAGCTCTGTGATGCACTCATGCACATTGCTCATTACTGAGAGTTTTATTGCTGGGGTTGCTTTGTGATAGTCTTGTGAACATTTCTGTAAGTTTGAATAGTGAAGAAGCTCTGTGATACACAGATGTATCTTTTGTGCTCTACTTATGTGATGCAGTAATGTGTAGAATAAATGTTATTGTTGTGACCAATACTTTCTAGTGCTCCACAAAAAAAAAAATGCAATATTGTTCTTATGGTTTTGTTTGTTTTGACCAATAATTTTGCTGTACTGCAATTAAATAATCCTCCAGTGCCCCTTAAAAGATTGTGCTGTGGATGCACCCACAGTTGTATCAAAGCTGCACAGCCAGTTGTCAAGTAACTGCCGCAGGGCGCACATAGCTTAGGATAGTGTCCAGAAGGGATAACTAGGCAGATTAACAGTAAGGGGGTATATTGTTTAAAGAAGGGTCTCGTTTTTATTTATATTATTTTTTAAGCATTGACAATACAAGGTGTTGAAACACTACACTCAAAAGTTAGTATTACTTTTTTATCTCAAGTGTTATGACCAGTAACAGCAATGATGATGGTAATGCTGCAAGATACAATTATTTGTATAGATTGTAGTTGATGAACCTTCATTGAACATGCAAATATGTGTGTTTGTGTAGTGTGTGTATATAATGCAGAGTGTGTGTGTGTGTGTGTGTGTAGTGTGTGTATATAATACAGTGTGTGTGTGTGTGTGTGTGTGTTTATGTAGAGATGTAATTTTTGTAAAATGGGGGGGCATTTTTTTATTTTAATTATTATTTTTTTTTAATATTTAAATGTTTCTTTTAGTCCCCCTTCCCTGCTTCTTACCAAGGAGGGGGATATAGTATACCCTGGTGGTCCGGTGGCTTGTTAAGAACTGTGGGGGCCCGCAGCAAGCTGTTACCTTCCCAGCAGCTCCCTGTGTAAATCTGGCGGGCCTTAGTGACGCGCGGAGCGTTGCCATGGTACCCCGTGGAAACGCTCTGAGGCCGCGGGGCTCTCGAGATTTGACATGGGAGCTGAAGGGAGCTGCTGGGAAGGCAAGTAACAGCTTGCTGCGGGCCCTCCAGGACAAGCCCGACGGTCCTGGTATGTATTATCGGCAATATCGGTATCTCTATTGGCCGATACTGATATTGCCAAAAATACAGAATATCGGCCAACAATATCGGTAAAACCGATAATCGGTCAATCCCTAATTCTGTGTGTTGTGTTTCAGAGGGAGAAATAGAAGATTTTTGGTGTACAATTGCTCTGGAAAGTATTTGAAAGGACTGATTGCGTTTTTGTTTTAAATCTGTTTTTATTGAGGTCAACACAAGAAGCAGTTTTCCCACGCAGGGGATATAACGTAAACAATGCATTTGTTATGGAAAAACATGAGTAGTTATGTGTACAAGTTTATCATAGCATGTTATAGCCCTATAATGTGGTACACTTGAAATATGTTTTCCTTTTTTTTTTTCTTTTTTTTCTCTGCGTCGGCTGAGTTCAAGATGGGGCCTAATATGTCACTATGCGGTCAGATTGTGTCTAACTAAGCCTGTGGTAAAGCTTTCAGTATATGTAACCCTATGTAATTAAGTAAACTTTGCCTTTCAATCATAAGTTTAGTATGGGTCAGTGGATGGATAACTAACTACAGCATCGTACCATATAGCTTCTGGGTACTATAGGGCACCGATGTCGTATGTGCTTGCTAAAGCCACTTGTGTCATCCTATAGACAATTCCAATGTAAGTTGTACAAGTTTATCATAGCATGTTATAGCCCTATAATGTGGTACACTTTAAATATGTTTTCCCTTTCTCTTTTTTTTTTTCCCTTTTTTTTTCTTCTCTTTTTTTCTTTCCCCCTTCTCCTTCCTCTGCGTCGGCTGAGTTCAAGATGGGGCCTAATATATCACTATGCGGTCAAATTGTGTCTAACTAAGCCTGTGGTAAAGCTTTCAGTATATGTAACCCTATGCCATTAAGTAAACTTTGCCTTTCAATCATATGTTTAATATGGGTCAGTGGATGGATAACTAACTACAGCATCGTACCATATAGCTTCTGGGTACCATAGGGCACCGATGTCGTATGTGCTTGCTAAAGCCACTTGTGTCATCCTATAGACAATTCCAATATAAGTTGTGTCACATGCCATATTCGTATTTGGTTTGCCAGTAATTTGATTACTATGGCTAACATGCAGCCTATGTTCGCTGAAGCCGTTTGTCTCTTAACTGTGTATAATGAATTTTGGCATAGGCCTGCAACAACGAGTGCAAAAAAAAAAAAATTGGAAATCAACTGTAAGAACTATAACAGAGGCTAGTAGTATTATGCAATGTAAGTGAAGCAATGTATAAACAGGCGAATGTAATTTCAATGGAGATGTCCATCACATAACGTGCAATCTGATGTAGACAGTGGTTAGTTATGCCATGCAGGTATTTGAAGGCAAACAAGATTTTTATAACCTAAACATAGGTTGCAGATGTGTCATAGTGCATTTGCTGCCAACAGTGATGGGAAAAAGTGAGTCACTTCATGGGGAGTAGGAACATGCTGCGCTGTGTCGTTGCAGATAATAGGTTAAGGAGAGCAGTGTCAATTGCACCATAAGTGAGCTACCTCCGTGGTTGCCCCCATAGGCCTTCAAGCATGCCTGTCCTCCATCAGTCCTCCCTGGGGCTGACCCATCCCGCCGGTTTAGCGTTCTGTGGTGCCGTGGGCACTCAAAGTCCAAATCTGTCCCCTAGACCCTCCACACCTAGAGTCCAGGTTCTGACTGTCTCCTGCACCTCCCCAGCACCACTTCAGCCTCTGTGAAGCACTTGGACCCTCATGTCTCACCTGGCGCCGGCCACACACTTAGGACTGGGGCACCTTCCTCACGGTCACCGGTACACCGGAAAGGTCTGTGCGTTCCCGTCCCACAGGACTCACTGCGGCAGGGACAATCTCCCCTGGGCCACCCCCGAAACCCAAAGGCAGGGACTGGTACTTCTCCAGGGGGCAGGCCGCCCAGGGTATCCCTCTGCAGGGAAACAGCTGTTGGGGCCATCGAAGCAATGCGGGGAAGCCGCTCCATGAAGGTGAGTCTCCCCTGACATGCTTGCATTGCAGTGAATTTGTGTAGCAGTTCCTTTTACTGGGTGGGAGGCCGCCAGCACTCCCGACCCCTTCTGATCCCCTTGGGTGTCGCCGAAGCAGGGACTCATGGGCCAGGACAACCCCCACCGGCCCAGGGGGGGGGGAGCGGGGCCGGGCCCCCCTTTAACATGTGCTTGTGTTTCATCAGACCTCCGTCCTGTTGGTCTCCACAACTAGGCCCGGGTGCATGTGTCCGCAGCGTGTCACGATCCACCAGCAACCGGCTTCGCCCGACAACAGGCGGGTTCCTCCTCGTGCACCTCACGTTTTCCCGGGTTCTGTTGGGCATCGGAGGTAAGAAAATTGCCTTTTTTTAGCGGCACGATGCAGGAGCTAGCGAAGATGGCTGCCGCTCCGCTCGGCGGCCCGGCCCCGCCCCCTCCTGATTGCGTTTTTGGATAGGCTGCATTTTAATTGTAGGCTAAGGAAGTCATGTAACTTTGTAAGCATGCTGGGCCACAAGTCTGGATTAATGAAGCAGTTTTGGTGTATAGATAATGCCCTTCTATGCCATTTATGAGTTAAATCACTTTATTTATGCAGCCCAAGTCACATTTCCCTGCATGTGGCTCACGCAGCTGTCCTAAACACATCCTGTAAAGAGTTATCTAATGTTTAAATTTCCTTTATTACAAATTCTGTTCAATTCAGAATTTCTTATCTCTTGTTCTGTTAATAGCTTGCTAGACCCTGCAAGAGCCTCCTGTTTGTGATTAAAGTTCAATTTACAGAGCAGTTGATAACTTGTAGAGTAAGTTACATCTGATTTAAAATAAAACCATTTTTATTCAGTCTGTGTCAATCACAGTCAGAGGAGGTGAGTCTACGGCTGCGTAAGCAGAAACAAAAGCGATTTAACTCCTAAATGACTGGGTGTGTAGATCTTGGGCAGCTTGTTTAATTGAAATATTGTTTGTAAATATATCCCGTAAATTGAGCAGTGAAACGTCAGAGGCATGATCTATACACAAAAACTGCTTCATTAAGCTAAGGTTATCACCTTAAAGGACCACTATAGTGCCCTGAGGGTGCCCCCACCCTCAAGGCCCTCCTCCCACCGGGCTCTAGGGTGAGGAAGGGGTTAAAATCTTACCTTTTTAAAGTGCCGGGCTCCATCGGCACTGGGGAATCTCCTTCTTCTGCAGTCATCGACTGAATGCGCATGCGCGGCAAGAGCTGCGCCTGCATTCAGCCAGTCTCATAGGAAAGCATTCTCAATGCTTTCCTATGGACGCCGGCGTCTTCTCACTGTGAAAATCACAGTGAGAAGCGTGGAAGCGCCTCTAGCGGCCGTCAATAAGACAGCCACTAGAGGCTGGATTAACCCATTTGTAAACATAGCAGTTTCTCTGAAACTGCTATGTTTACAGCAGAAAAGGTTTATCCTAGAGGGACCTGGCACCCAGACCACTTCATTAAGCTGAAGTGGTCTGGGTGCTTATAGTGGTCCTTTAAGGTAAGTAGATCTCTCTATCTGCTTTTTCCTCGGCCACCAATACACAAGCAGACATGTCACAGACAAGGTCCTACAGGCGACAGTAAAACTTTAAACAACTAGTGATTACTCTTCTTGATAAGTTTTGCAGATAAACAAAAACATAAAATTTGTATATTCACCAGAACAATAAAATATTATGAATAAAACGAATGAGTTAATTAAATATAAATAATGCATTTGTAACACAATTAACTTTTTAGTATACAGGCTATTATTGTAAGTTAAATACATCTGTAATTAAAATAAAACTTCAATAATAGCAAAGGTTTAAAAATTCAGCTAATTATTACCAAAAGCATAACATTTTTGTTGGTAACCAGAGTGTTCCTTTAAATAACTAATTTTTATTTAAAATTTATGGATGCCTAGCAAAGTAACATTTGTCAGGGGAGGGGGATTTGATCTGACAACTAAAATATAGCTATAGCTACTAGAGAGATAATGTGCTTGAATAAAAGTTGTGTTAAGATGCCAGCATTCAATAAAAGATACATTCGTGGATTCTTGACCATTCTTGGCTTAATTTACGGGATACATTTACAAACAATATTTCAATTAAACAAGCTGCCCAAGATCTACACACCCAGTTGATATTTTAAAGGAACACTATAGGGTCAGGGACATAAACATGTATTGCTGACCCTATAATGTTTAATCCACCATTTAGGTGGCTTTCCTCCCTTCGAAAATGTTAAAATTCACTTTATGTCCAGCGCCGTGCGGGTTTGCAGATGCTGTCCCCGCCCTTGATGACATCAGAATTTCCAATTTTTAGCCAATCCAATGCTTTACCTATAGGGAAATCATTAGGAATCGACCGATTATCGGTTTTAACGATACGATCGGGCGATTTTCAGTATTTTTGGCAATATTGGAATCGGCCAATATAGATACCGATATTGCCGATAATACATACCAGGACCGACAAGTTCATTACAAGCCCGGCGGTCCTGGAGGGGCCGGCAGCAAGCAGTTACTTACCGCCCAGCAGCTCCCTACAGCTCCCATGTCAAATCTCGGCAGTCCCATAGCAACGCTCCACACGGCACGCAAACCGCAAGAGTTAGACTGGGGAGCTGAAGGGAGCTGCTGGGAGGTTAAGTAACTGCTTGCTGCCGGCCCCCCCACTGCTCAGTACGCAGTACACGCCACTGGACCACCAGGGACTGCAATATCCTCCCCTCCCTGGCCAGGAAACAAGCAGGGAGGGTGGACAAAAATAAAAGCATATACATAATAAAATTAAAAGAAAAAAAAAACACTGCAGATAAAAAAAATCAAAAAAAAAATCAAACATATATTAAAAATACAATTAAAATAAAAATGCATCCCCTCCTGCCCATTTTACACAAATTACATCCCTTCACAAACACACGCACACACTGCATTCATTATATATATACACACACTATACAAACACACACACACTGCATTCATTATATATATACACACACACTATACAAACACACACACACACACACACAAACACACACTGCATTCACTATATACACACTACACAAACACACACTGCATCCACTACACACACACACTACACAAACACACACTGCATCCACTACACACACACTACACAAACACACACTGCATCCACTACACACACACACTCACACAAACACACACCGCATCCACTACACACACACCACACAAACACACTGCATCCACTACACACACACACTACACAAACACACCAGATCCACTCACACACACACACACACCACACAAACACACCAGATCCACTACACACACACACACACTACACAAACACACCGTGATCCACTACACACACACACACACCACAAACACACCCGCATCCACTACACACACACACACACACCACACAAACACACACCGTAATCCACTACACACACACACACACTCCACACAAAACACACACTACACAAACACACACCGCATCCACTACACACACACACACACCACACAAACACACACTGCATCCACTACACACACACCGTAATCCACTCACACACACACACTACACAAACACACACACTGCATCCACTACACAAACACACACACTGCATCCACTACACAAACACACACACTCACACTGCACAAACACACCTCACACTGCACAAACACACACACCGCATCCACTACACACACACACACACACCGTACAAACACACACACACACACTGCACAAACACACACACTGCATCCACTACACACACTACACAAACACACACACCTAATCTTACTCACACACACACACTACACAACACACACTGCATCCACTACACACACACACACTACACAAAACACACACCTGCATCCACTACACACACACACACACACTGCACAAACACACACTGGCATCCACTACACACACACACACACACTGCACAAACACACACACTGCATCCACTACACACACACACTGCATCCACTACACACACACACACTGCACAAACTACACACACACACACACACTGCACAAACACACACACTGCATCCACTACACACACACACACACTGCATCCACTACACACACACACACTACATAAACACACACTGCATCCATTACACAAACACACAGCTCCCCTGTCTAAACACACTGCATTCACTACATGTGGCATGTATATTTTGTGCATTTACCTTTAGAAATAGTTTATTTTTTCAAAAAGGCAAATGTACAGAATATCGGCAATCGGCCTGAAAGTTCAAAGATTATCGGTATTGGCTTTAAAAAAACAAAACAATATCGGTCGATCCCTAGAAAGCATTGGATTGGCTTAACTTGGCAAGGAGGTGGGATGGGGTGGAGCCAAACGCTGTTTTAGCCAATCAGCACCCACTCATTGAATTAATGTATCTCTATGAGGAAAGTTCAGTGTCTCCATGCAGAGCGTGGAGTCGCTAAAGTGGCCACTTGGAGGTGTCCCTAGGGGGCAATGTAAATACTGCCTTTTCTCTGGAAAGCAATGTTTCAGACTCAATGTATGTCTTTCAAATGTTTTAGGAGACATTAATTCCACACATACTTTTAGAGATAAGCACGTAGGTGGTATATACATGTCTGAGGTGTTTCCATTAAAATAAAGCAGTCTTCCCATACACAGACAGCTACACACCCCCACACAACTTTGTGCAAATTTAATATACCCCCATTCCCTGTAGCATGGACAGGGTCTCAATGGAGGCTGCTAGTCTGCACTGTGTGCTCCAGTCACTCACTGAAGAACTGGCACACCAAGTCAGAGAACTTTGCTAATGATGCTGCCAGAAGCACAGAGCGCAATGAAATGAAGTTCTCAGGTTATCCAGCCTCTTCAGCCACAGCAAATAAAGGTCTGATACAGACCAGGTTGCCAACAGTCCAAAACATAGATGTATACCCAGGACATACCTTTCTATTCTAGGATGGGTGGCCCCATGCAACATTAAAGTATTTGGGGGCTGGATATGGCCCGCGTCTTTAAGACTACTGTTCAAAAGTGTACGCACATTAGTATTCAAAATAAGTATATATTGAATTTTTGTCACAGGAATCACCATCATGTGAAGTTTAGTTGTCAAATTATTGTTGCTAAACTACAATTGCCATGCAACTTGAAATATTATTGAAACCAAGAATAAAAAGGGCTACTCAAGTTAGTCAAACACAAGGTACTTCAAACATCAAATGTCAACCAAGCACTGTGTTACAGGAGTGTTTTTTCCAGGAAGGACACATATTCCTCAATATGAACTGAAGAACTGTAAAGAAACATAGTATTTGTACAAAGATAGAGTAGATTCGAAACCACTATTGGAGGTTAACTCCCTATTCATATCTATAGCAGACAGATATTTTAAATGAAGAGGCAATCACCCGTATGATGACATGAGTTTGCATTGAATGAACCACAAAAATAACTGACAGGGACAATCTTTGAATTGTAATAAATTAAAATCCTAATAACAAAACTGAGGCTTATATAGCGGATTTGGAAATATTCTCCAATATTTGTAATGTAATAATTGTTACAATTTTGCCACTAGAATTTTTATTTGGCTAAATTCACAGTACTGTGCCCTTCAACCCAAAAAAATATCACAAAGGAAACCAAAATCTTGCCTGGAACACCAACTGCGTTTCTCAACCTTTTGAGCAGAAACACACCCCTGAATGTCTTAAAACCAACCCCTTCTCCAGGGCCAATGAAAACATTTTTTTACCTCTCTAGGCAAAATCATCTAGACAAGTATTTAACATTTCTTAAAGCAATATATAATTTATCACTAATGCTTGACAGTGTTGAAGGAACACTCCAAGCCACATAGCCACTAAAGATTACTGTTGTGTTTACCTTGGCTGAAATCATCACAATTGACGATTTCAGCAAATCCAATGCTTTCCCATAGGAATGCATTACAGGCTAATGTGCAAGCGCGGCAAAACGCAGCACTATGCCAATCAGCATCTACTCATAGAGATGCACTGAATCAATGCATCTCTATGGGAAATGTCTCATTTCTCGCCTCTTTACACATACACACACGGAGCCTGAGGCCGAGGAGACGAATCGAAAGCCTAAGGAAGAGGAGATGCAGGGTAATCTAGGGCAGAGAAAAAGGATAGATGGGGCAGAGAAAAACATAAAAAGCTGAATTAAAAGCAATAATATGATTAACAAACATTTTGCTAATATGAGGGTTAGTATTTCTGAAAATGGGCTGCCAATGGGGTACACAAGTTAAAAAAAGGTTGGGGAGGGGAGAGGACGGGGCCTGACTCTCATGCTGACAAGATGTGTTTTCCAGAAGCTCCTGTCTGAGCAAGCCTTAAAGGATCACTATAGTGCCAGGAAAACACACTCGTTTTCCTGGCACTATAGTGCCCTGAGGGTGCTCCCACCCTCAGGGTCCTCCTCCCGCCCATCTCTGGGGAGAGGAAAGGGGTAAAAAAGTACCTTTTTCCAGCGTTGGGCGGGGAGCCCTCCTCCTCCGAACCTCCCATTTGGCTGAGCTGCGCGCGCATTCAGCCGGTCGCATAAGAAAGCATTTACAATGCTTTCCTATGGAGGCTTGCGTGCTCTCACTGTGATTTTCACAGTGAGAATCACGCAAGCGCCCCTAGCGGCTGTCAATGAGACAACCACTAGAGGAATTGGAGGAAGGATTAACCCATTTGTAAACATAGCAGTTTCTCTAAAACTGCTATGTTTATAAAAAAAATGGGTTAATCCTAGCTGGACCTGGCACCCAGACCACTTCATTAAGCTGAAGTGGTCTGGGTGCCTAGAGTGGTCCTTTAAACTAGCTAAAATTGCATTTTTGAGATGTCAGAAGACTCCGAATTACGCAGAGCAAGTATCCCGAATAAAGGGAAACATTGACAGCCCCAAAATTATCATTCCTGCACACCTAATCTGCCTAACAGGATTGCCGACCTAACAGCTGGGAGATCTCCTGCTCGAAGTTGCGCATTTCACAAGGAACCTACCAAAGCCCTGTCGCCCCCACCTTTGGAATGGTAGGGGTTATCCCGGTCCCCGCTGGGTATACTCACTACATTACAGTGGACAATTTGAGTTCCGTGTTGCCAAAAACATGTTGTGAATTCAAGATGGCCACCATGCTGGGACATCCATTGCATCAAGTGGAACCAGGGATCCAGGACTGGGTGCAGAGAGTCAAGGCCAGATTTGATGAGCCGTGTTGGGATTTTTGGATACAAGCAGCCTGCAACTCCCACGCTACCACCTTACCTGACTGGACCCACCGAGTGGAGAGGCCTACCACAGCAGCTTCGCTCCCACGAGATTCACGGCAAGGCAAGGCCAAGCTGAGACCAGCTGGACGAGACCCTGACGCAGTCTTGTCCTGCTGAGTGCCATCGCCATCACCTACCTGGGACACGATCCATCATGGGACCCTGACCCACCGCTCACACCCTCAGAAGGCTCCTACTTACCATGCCATACAGAAGCCTGGAACCAGGCCACGAGGTCAAGCCCAACTTGCGACTCACATAGAGACTTGTGAGATGAGTATAATAGTCTGTGGCACAGCTAGGGGCTGCAGGGGCACAGTTCAGCGGGACACCTGGGATCGCTTTCCCTTGATCACTAAGCATTATGCATCAGGCATAGGCTAAGCTAGTTACCACCATAATATAACATGCTATATGCGGACAGCTCTTTCGCAGTCTATGTTTATGCCCAGTGGTATATCAATCTGCAATGTATTTGCCTTTATCACTCTACTACTGACATACCGTTTCATCTCACTAGTTTTGCAACTACTACCTACTACTCACCTACTAAACTTAATTTTTACTCTATGACAGGTTGATGTCATGACTTGTTATACTTTTCTTAAAAAAAATTAAAAAAATTGCGTGCAGTAGTCTCTGACATAAGCGATGTATCTACGTTGTCATATATGCCTTCTCTATTATGCCAGTACAAACTTGTATGTATGTCTCTGCACCACAAAAATAAAGAATTATAAAAAAAATAAAATAAAAAGGTTGGGAACCACTGCTCTAGTACATAATACCTGGCTTCACAACATAGAAAAAAAGATAGGAGATATCCTGAGAGCACAAACACTCATCACAGCATCCCCCATCCTCTGAGCAATGGTACAAGGCAGGGGTTCCCGGTCTCGCCGCTACTGTTCGCACTCACCTTAGAACCACTGTTCCATGCCATTAATATGAGAGGTGGAAATAGCACACCACCAATTTAAAGTATCGGCATATGCAGATGATGTCCTACTGACTCTCAAAGATCCGATACTCAGCATGCTCAAAGTTGAGATCCTGCTAAACCACTAGGGAAACCTCTCCGGATATAAAGTCAATCTATCAAAATCCATAGCGACGCATTTCCCCCTGTCGGTCCCGGACACAGCCACCATCAGACAGACATACCACTTTAGAATAGCGGCAGACTAATTTAAATTCCTAGGAATAAACCCAGCAGCTGACCCCGCTTCCCTATTCAGGCAAAATTGTACTCCACTCTTTTACACACTCATAGGAGACTTGAAGAAGTGGACAGAGAAACCTATCTCATGGATAGGATGCCTTCATTCAGTCAAAATTAACATACTGCCAATAATCTTATTCATGTTACAATCACTGCCCGTACGAGTCACCAGAGGGGACTTAACAAACATGCAAAAAGCAATTGACCCGTTCAAAAAACAACCCAGACTTGCCCATAGCCTACTACAACGTCCCAAGTCCAGGGGAGGACTAGGTCTCCCCCATCTATACCATTATTACCTGGCGGCACAACTAACCCAAATCATACACTGGCACTCACACCCAGAACACAGGAGATTGGTAAATATAGAATCCCTACTGACAGGGGTGGACTTACCTCAATTTTACTTGTGGGTACCTAAAGCCCACAAGGCAATACTAAGAACTACATGCCCAGCGGTTCTCAATTCCATACAAATATGGGACCAGGTAAAACAAAAATATAAGAAAAAAAGGGGGTCAAGGGCTGCGCTTGAGTGAGGAGACAAAAAAGTGAATAAGTGAATAAAATCGTATTATGATAAAATAAACAGTGATAATAAAGTCAAATAAAGTTCATCCGGATTTGTAAAAAGTATAAATGAAAACAGTCTCACTGGTATGCAGTACCACGATAATAATCCTCAAGTATGGCTCCGTCCGTATAGTAGATAGTCCATATATGTGAAGATAAAAGACAAAAAGACAAAAAGAAAAAGCTACCAATGGTGAAATATTGTATATCCTGATGTTGTATATATTCAAAGGAAATATATTTCACTCACATTTTGTGGAGCTTGTGCCAGCTCTGGGAGAAGAGACACTAAGTGGTTTAATCCCCACTAACGGATATACTTGGATGGTCCTTTTATCCGGCTCGGAGTTCCTGTGGTGTCGGCTAGGATCTACTTCAGATGTGTGTTAATTCCTTGGAAGGTAGGTCCGCCTTTCCGGTATCGGATAATAGGTATCCACGGAGTATATATAAAACGGCAAATAGTGCTCTCAGTATGAACAACAAAGTAATATTTAACTTTAAGTAAGTTATACTTACAAGAATAGAGCAGACAGGTACTGCTCTATTGCCACAGCTCTGGTGGAATTATCCCCACCTAAGGATTTCTTTGGACGGAATATGCTTTCAATTTTTTTAAAATTAAAATAAAATAAAAATGAAAATGGGATGGATAAAACTATAAAATAGTATGGGATGATATAAAATATATATATATATATATATATATATATATAAAAATGCCAGGAGTAAATGAAAGTGTATAAAATACAATAAAAATAAGTTTGCAATTGGTCCTAGTATAAAAGGTAACCAAAAAAACTTTTATTGATTAAAAATACACTTATTAAAACCATTTACGCGTTTTCACCTTTGGGGTTTTCTCAAAATGGTAAAAGACAAAAATATACCCTGGGGCATGACCCTTCCCCGATGACGCCTGTCCTCAGAAATAGACTATTCTTGCCGGGGATGAGGGCGAGGGATAGAGGCAACAGGGCTCCAAAGATACATACACCTTTTTGTAAATAGAGACAGTCACCTACGACCACTTGCAAACCCAGGCTCAACTACAGACGAGAGATTACATTCGCTATCTACAGCTTAGGGACTTTGAACGTACCAAAGAGATCCAAGCAAAACGACAATTAACTTTCTTTGAGAAACTTTGTCTCGAGGAAATAACCCAGACTAAATCAGTTACACTACTTTACCAACATATAAACTCAGAGTCATGTAAATAGGGAACTCTCTGATACACATATCAATGGGAGGACGACCTGGGGGAGGTACTTGAGGGAAAGGACTGGCAGGATATCTGGGAGGCATGTACCAAAGTATCCAGGTGGCAACATTAAAAGAACAATGCTACAAAACGTTATTTAGGTGGTACACGACGCCGGTTAAACAATGCCATATGAAGTTGCGTTCCACTGATACCTGCTGGCACCTTTAGGGTGATATGGAAAGCAATATACACATGTGGTGTCCATGCCAAAAAGTAAGGGAATATTAGGAACAGGTGGTAGACTTTAGCTCTCCCGTTCTCCAACAGCGACTGGAGCCGGCCCTTGGGTGTGCCTTCTCTCCAGACCCACCGATGGCCTCAATAGACATGAACAAAAATTACTAAACACGATCAGGCAGCACAAAGGGCACCGACACAAAAATGCGCAAACCCCAAGTTGCAACAGATGTCCATAGTAATAGCAAAGATAAGGGACAACTATCTCATGGGTAAGCTAACAGCACAAGTCTGTAACACCACCACAACTTTTAACAAGGTATGGGAGCTCTGGGAAGAATATGAGGAATGCAATGGTATCGCAGAGCCAATTTTCTGTTCTGTAACATTTTCACAATGATGCATCTACCGAACTAAGGCTTCTGAGAAAGCCTTCTAAGATCGCAGTGTCTCAGTCTATGTCAATGCAAAAATAAAGATATTAAAATTAAAAAGGAGATGTTCGTCCATCTACATTACGATTGCTATCTTTGACAGCTGTTAAAATCAAGGAACAGCTGTACTTCTACCATTTAATTCTTTGGTTGCCTGTGCATCAAATACAATGAATATCTGCTGCAGAATCATTAATCTACCATCACAAAACTGGCAACAATAACCAGAGATATTTATTATTAAGATGCATATTAACCAGATGCAAATTCACTTCTGGATTGGCTCTACAGAGACTTAAAAGGTAAAATATAATAGTATGTTTGTTCACACACAAAAAAAAAACATTGGAAACCTAAGCACAATGAAGTTAATGGTAACCAACACTACAGTGCACAAATACAATTTAAAGGGACACTATATTCACCAGAACAACTACAGGTTATTATATTTGTTCTGGTGAGTATAATCATACCCATCAGGCTTTTTGCAGTAAACACTTTTTTCCCCAGAGAAAATTAAGCGTTTACATTACAGCCTAGGGATACCTGCACTGGCCATTCCTCAGATGGCTGGCTGCTATAGGTGCTTACTGGGTCACTAAGCAGGCAGATCAGGGGCAGAGCCAGCAGCTGCAGACTTTAAGTAAGATTACACTATATTTAGGGGGCAAATGTGGGTCGGAGGGGGGGGTTAGATGGTGGTTTAACACTATAGGATCAGGAATACATGTTTGTGTTCCTGACTCTATAGTGTTCCTTTAAGAGTATTTTGCCTGCTTTTGGTTTTGGTACTGGGCAATATATATTGAAAAGACATGCTAAAGAGTTAGTAGCACTTAATATGCATAATGAAGCAGAAAGGAATTGCACAAAGTTTGACAATGTCTGCTGATCTGTGCAACTTTAGTTGTAGCAAATGATTAAGGTAGTAAACATGACCAAATTAATATTTAAGAGACATTCTGACTATGCTTTCAAACTACAAACAGCATAAATGAAAAGTGTGTAGCAAGACTTGACACAGGAATACTTGCAGGCTATTTGTAAAGTTCTCTGCAGTGTAAAATAATAACAGTTGGAAGCTTAAAAAATAACTACAGGTTAGAGAAAACCCTTCTCTGAGCAAAACTGAGGCTGTGAACAGAGAACTTTTATTTTATTTACATTCGCTCTCTCGCAATCCTTTAAGGGGACACTCCACTGCCCAAATACAAAATAAATAAAAAATACATGTTTATTAGATATACCCCAAATGAAAACTTGCATGCATTTTATGATTTTTTTTTTTTTATTGATTTTTTTAATATAGGTGTTATAGCTAAAAACAGCTTGTAAAGTAGGAATCGACCGATTATCGGTCTGGCTGGTATCTGGTATTTTCGGCAATATCGGCATCGGCCTATAGAAATAACGATATTGCAGATAGTACATACCAGGCCCGCAGCAAGCTCTTTACTTACCTTCCCAGCACCTCCCCTGTGAAACTCTTGCGAGTGTTGCCACGGGTTGCCATGGCAACGCTCTGCACAGCACGCTGGCCACGAGATTTACACAGGGGAGCTGAAGAGAGCTGCTGGGAAGGTAAGTAAGAGCTTGCTGGGCCCCCACTGCACAGTCCATGCCACCGGACTACCAGGGAATGCCATATCACCCCTTCCTGGCCAAGTAAGGAGCAGGGAGGGGGGGACAATTTAAAACAAAATATTTTTTTTTTTTTTAAATTTAAATAAAAAATGCCTCCCCCTCCTCCAAATTACATACCTACAGAAACACACACTCTGTTTATGTTTATATATATATATATATATATATATATATATATATACATACATACATACACACACACACACACACACACACACACTGCATTCGCTATACACACACACTACACAAACACTCACTGCATTCACTATATACACACACACTACACAAACACACTCTGCATTCATTATATACACTGCATACACACACACACAGCTCCCCAGTCTAAACATACTGCATCCATTACATATGGCATGTATAATTTGTGCATTTACTTCAGAAATAGTTTGTTTTTTCAAAATGGTAAATGTACAGAATATAGGTAAGTTTTCGGCTATCGGCCTGAAAGTTCACAGATTATCGGCTCAAATTTTTTTTTTTTTTTTTTTAAATAAAATCATTATAAATCCCTATTGCAAAGACTGCAGATCTCGTCTGCTCCCTTTGCAAGCTCTCCCCTTCTAACCCTGCCCACACTTTCTGTGGCTGTCCAATCACAGACTTCCCATAAAAAAACTCAATGAGAAGTCTTTGTAAGTCAGGTGCTCTGGGCAATTGTTGCCTCTTGGGGTCAGTTGCATTGAGCTAACCAAACCAGAAAGCAACATTACTTGTTGTCTGCTTGAAAGCCAAGGGGATGTAACCAGGTTAATTTATAAGAGTCAATTTCTATTAAAATCTGCACTTTTTGCAAAATGATAATGATGATGAAGAGGACACACTTTTTACACATAAAGCTTTTCCTCAAACTAAAGTTATTTTGGGGTCTGGAGTGACCCTTGGCTAGCAAAGGCCCTATACTATTCCTGCTTCCTATCTTACTAGTTCAGTGCTGTACCTATAGACATGAGAACACATTTCCTGAGAGAGATCTATATATCATGCTGGCAACAGATGCCAAATATTCACAGACTAAACAATAGTAAGCTCAGAACTCTTGACAAAATGTGGAGGTGCACTGCTGGCAGCAATGTCCTATACCAGACATCTGTTATTTAAAAGACAGCGCTGCGGAATTTAACAGCGCTCTATAAATATAATAATAATAATAATAATAATAATAATAATAATAATAATAATAAAAGACATGGCACATTGTTGCTGCTGCATTCAGCACATATGTCTAAACATACCCATAACCCTTTCCACTGAATGCTATTCAGAAATGCTGCATATATTGAACTATGTAGGCTCCTATTTAATGCTGGTGGAAACATCAGTGGATGTCAGGTATATTACAGTAGGACTGACCCTATCTACATGTAAGAAAAACATTTATCAGCTGGATTAGTCCAGAGTTGGCACGCATGTGAATATGTGTGTGTGTATATGATATTTGGCATGCACAACTAAGCCAATTACCTGTATGCATATTGGTAATGAAATGGTAAAAAAACAAAACAAACCATGAATAGTGCAACAGGAAGCATCAATATAAAATTTAACTTCAATAATGTTACATTTCAGCCAAAAACCTAACCTAGGAAGCAACATGCTCATCACCAGCCCGGTATCTAATAAGTGCATCTCATCTCCAGCCTGAAAAGTAAAATGTGAATTACATGCCCGGTCTAGTAACTAGCATGTGTATCACATTCTGAGAAATACAATGCCCTGTCACACACAAAATGCCATCACACATACAGCTAACCTACAATGCCCTGTCCCACATACGTAACCTACAATGTCCTGTCACACACACACACACAGTTAACATACAATGTCCTGACACACACACAGTTAACATACAATGCCCTGTCACACACACAGTTAACATACAATGTCCTGTCACACACACAGTTAGCATACAATGTCCTGTCACACACACAGTTAGCATACAATGTCCTGTCTCTCACACACACACAGTTAGCATACAATGTCCAGTCACACACACACACAGTTAGCATACAATGTCCAGTCACACACACACACAGTTAGCATACAATGTCCAGTCACACACACACACAGTTAGCATACAATGTCCAGTCACACACACACACACACACACAGCATACAATGTCCTGTCACACACACACACAGTTAGCATACAATGTCCTGTCTCACACACACACAGTTAGCATACAATGTCCTGTCACACACACACAGTTAGCATACAATGCCCTGTCACACACACACAGTTAGCATACAATGCCCTGTCACACACACAGTAAGCATACAATGTCCTGTCACACACACAGCATACAATGTCTTGTCACACACAGTTAGCATACAATGTCCTGTCACACACACAGTTAGCATACAATGTCCTGTCACACACACACACAGTTATCATACAATGTCCTGTCACACACAAAATGCCGTCACACATACAGCTAACCTACAATGCCCTGTCTCACACACACACACACACACACAGTTAACATACAATGCCCTGTCACACACACAGTTAGCATACAATGTCCTGTCACACACACAGCATACAATGTCTTGTCACACACACACAGTTAGTATACAATGTCCTGTCACACACACAGTTAGCATACAATGTCCTGTCACACACACAGTTAGCATACAATGTCCTGTCACACACACAGTTAGCATACAATGTACTGTCACACACACACACAGTTAGCATACAATGTCCTGTCACACACACACATAGTTAGCATACAATGTCCTGTCACACACACACAGCATACAATGTCCTGTCACACACACAGTTAACATACAATGCCCTGACACACACACAGTTAACATACAATGCCCTGACACACACACAGTTAACATACAATGCCCTGACACACACACAGTTAACATACAATGCCCTGTCACACACACAGTTAGCATACAATGTCCTGTCACACACACAGCATACAATGTCTTGTCACACACACAGTTAGCATACAATGTCCTGTCACACACATTTAGCATACAATGTCCTGTCACACACAGTTAGCATACAATGTCCTGTCACACACACACACAGTTAACATACAATGTCCTGTCACACACACACACAGTTAACATACAATGTCCTGTCACACACAAAGTTAGCATACAATGTCCTGTCACACACACAGCATACAATGTCCTGTCACACACACAGCATACAATGTCTTGTCACACACACAGCATACAATGTCTTGTCACACACACAGCATACAATGTCTTGTCACACACACAGTTAGCATACAATGTCCTGTCACACACAGTTAGCATACAATGTCCTGTCACACACAGTTAGCATACAATGTCCTGTCACACACACACACACACACACACAGTTAACATACAATGTCCTGTCTCACACACACACAGTTAACATACAATGTCCTGTCTCACACACACACAGTTAACATACAATGTCCTGTCTCTCACACACACAGTTAACATACAATGTCCTGTCTCTCACACACACACTTAACATACAATGTCCTGTCTCTCACACACACACTTAACATACAATGTCCTGTCTCTCACACACACACACAGTTAACATACAATGCCCTGTCACACACACACACACACACACAGCATACAATCCCCTGTCACAAACACAGTTAGTACACAATGTCCTGTCACACACACAGTTAGCATACAAGCCCCTGTCATACACACAGCATACAAGCCCCTGTCTCTCTCTCACACACACACACACACACACACACACACACACAGTTAACAATGTCCTGTTACACAATGTACAGTTTATTGTTTGCATGTCACACTATGTACCCCCCTCCCCGCTCATGCTGTCAGTCAGTTTATGGATTAAGTCGCACACTCTGGCTGACCATCACTATTTTTCTCAGCGACGGTTCCCCAGGGATGGCCCGCAGGCCCGAAGTCTTACCCTCCGCCATGATGGTTCCGCCCGGCTGATATCGCGAGAGAGGCGTGGGCTCACGACGTCACATAGATGGGGTGTGCGGATGGCGGCGGGAGGGTCAGGCTTGGACTGTTAACCCATTCCGCACCTGGGAGACATCCCTGCAAAGAACAGAAAGCGTTCGCAGCGCTACCTAGTGGTTAGAGTATAGTTAGCGTCACTGGAATTCATGCATTCCGGGCTGAGAACCCAATCTAGAACCCAGGCATCGTTCTTAGAATGTACCGGTGTCTGGATTGTGCTTTCCAGCTACACAATTAGACTGGATGTAGTCTGGATTGCATCCTGTCATTATTCATCAAGACAAGTCCGAGTTCTGGCTCTGGGGGTAACCAGAAAACTTCAGCAGTGCAGGCTGTCCATAAACCTGATGAAATGCACCGTTCTTTGGGTGTTCCCATCCCATATTTTTAGGTACAACTGTCCATTGTGGGTGTTGCTAGTGCATAGTTGCCAGCATTTAAAAAAAACATTTCCAGTGACACTTCTGGACAGATTTATCAAAGTGTCGCTGACAGTGTTCCATCTAATTTATGGAGAGTATGTTTTTTTTCTTATTTGTTGCTTCTTTTTTACGGTGACACTTTTGAATATACATTTTTTCAGCTTAATAAGTTTAAATAATTAAAAACTGGGTTTTTAGTGAGTACAGTTAAAAAAGGGTAGGCAGCGCAAACACCCAAACCAGAGTCTCTGTTTCGGTCCAATAAAAGATTTGTAGAATAAGAAGAGGGAGCAGTGTGTCTTGATATGTTTCTGAGGTAGATATGTTCTCAGAGGTATTGTGTGGAGACAGAAAGATACAGCAGAATATAGTGTAGTATTTACTACATACAGTGGCCAAATAAGTGAAAATGCACCTACAGATTTAAGAGCTAGGACAGCTCTATTTCGATGTGCATCGGCGGTACAATCCCCGCCTAGCGATATATGGTGTCTTCTATTAGTTAAAGTGCTTCTGTGCAGAGGACCTGCAACCAGGTATGGTGGCTCAAGATTAGCCACACCCCACCACGGGGTCTCACAGGCTTGTAGACGGCAGTATATATAAAAGAACAAAGATAAAAAATATAGTGATATTACTAGGCATGTGCATGGGGAAAATTTTCGGTTCGGTTCCGCATTCCAAAATTCGTGATTTTCGCAATTCGGAACTTCGGCACTTCGGAAATTCGGCACTTCAACACTTCGGAACTTCGGTATTTCAGGACTTCTATTGCAGCCGCTTAGTAGATAACTTCCTAATTCCCACTGTATTAGGGAGTTATCTACCAAAAGGCTGAAAGACCTAAATTGACCCCTGAGTGGCGGCCCTATATACTAAAAAGGGGGGCCTAAGGTCCTCCCCCCTGGCCCCCACTCCTGAGCGGTGGGTGGAGGCCCTAAATACTAATAAGGGGGGGACCTATTGTCCTCCCCCCCGGCCCCCACCCCTGAGCAGCAGGTGTGGGCCCTAAAAAAAAATGTTCCCCCCCAGGTGACTAGGGGTCCCCAAACCCCTAGTCACCCCCTACCTCCCAAAAAAAGAAATTATCCCCCCTACCTACCCCCCTCACCCTAAAAATAATGTGGGGGGGACCTTTAACTAAGTACCTGTAAAAAAAAAATAAAACTTACCTTTCAATGTTTTCTTTATTCAAAAATCTTATTTTTTCAGCCCCAAAAAAGGCCAAATAAAAAAACCATAATAACCAACGCAATTTAAAAAAAAAAAAACGAGCGCAAGAAAAAATAATCCATCTTCACCCGAGGAGGGCTCCGCGCAGACTGAGCTCTGCAGGGCGGGCGAAGGCTTATAAAGCCTTGCCCCGCAATGCAATTAGGCTCAGAGCACTCTTATTGGTGGGTTTAAGCCATCCAATCAGAGTGCTCTGACAGGTAAATGATGGGGCTGACAGGTAAGTCTCTACATTTACCTGTCACTGCACTCTGATTGGTTGGTTTGAAATCTAGTTCTTTGGAATTTTCCCACGCTGTGTCATTTGACTCATAACTCTCTGATTGGTTACTTAATCCACTAATATTAGTAAATTTAGCTGAAAGACCAATTTAGGTCTTTCAGCCTTTTAGTAGATAGCTCCCTAATACCGTGGGAATTAGGGAGTTATCTACTTATTCATTCCTGTCATTACATTGACAGGCTAAGTAACTTACATTTTATATGAATGTATGTTACTTGATTGTTGTAAGTGTTGCAAATGCTTACAGCTGAATCCTGGCTTTGTTTGTATACGTTTTATTTAAAATTGTATACAATGTAATATTCTTCTTCTTTCACTGGGTAAGTATATTAGTACTTAGACAATACTGTGCTTCGGGACTTTGACACTTGGGAACTCCAGCACTTCGGAAATTCGGTAATTTCGGAACTTCGGGACCTAGGCAATTCGGACATTCGGAAGTACCCAAATGTCCGAATTGCCCGAAATTCGTCCGAATTCATATTCAGACCGAAACGAATTGCACATGTCTAGATATTACTGTACACTAATAAAAAAAAAATTGGATAGAGCGATTGAAGAGAACGGTCGCATGCCCTCTGAGCTCCGGGCCGCGACACGGAAAAGAACCCACTTTTAACCCTCTCACAAGTGCCACACTCACCCCTGAGTGAGCCCAGCGCGCAGCAGAGTCCAATGGGACGAAAAACCAAAAAGCTCAAACCCGAAAGACCCACGAGGGGCATGGATATCGGCGAGTTATGGCGGCAAGCACGAGGCGCCACAGGCTCCAATATGGCGTCCCTACACGGCGGGTGCTCTGACTTCTATGAAGAGACGTCGGATGAGGGTGAAGGGGAGCTTCAGCCATCACCAGCTCGAACGCAACCCCCAATGCAACCCCTGCCGACTACTATGGCCCCCACGCCGGTGAGCATGGAAGCCATTAGAGACCTTATGGCGGAACATCACAAAAAGATTGCGGCAGATGTCGCCTCGATTAGAGACACATTACAGGGTCTCACCGGACGGATCAGGACCGTGGAAACCACCATGACCACCCAAACCGGCCAAATACAAGCGCTGCAACAGGAGGTTCAGGAGTTGAAACAGCTAGCTGGGCAGAACGACCTCCGATTTGCCGCACTTGAAGACAAACGCCGCCTAAAGCACCTTAAGGTCAGGGGCATCACCGACAATATTCCTGATGCTGAACTACCCCACGTTATTAGGCGGCCCCTTGCGGCTCTACTAACCCAGAGGGTTGCCAAAGCGGTGTCAATAGACGGAATTTTTCGCATCCCAAAGCCCACTGGGGCCCCAGCCACAGCCACGAGAGATGTCGTCCTGCAGTTCCAAGCCTACAAAGATAGAGCTGCAGTATTAGCATCCACCAGAGATCAACCAGCCTACCACTTTGAAGAAATGGCTCTCACCTTTTACCCTGATCTCTCAGGGGCAACATTGGCTTGGAGGAGGTCCCTGCAACAACTGACCTCCCTCCTGCGAGCACAACGCATCAGGTACCGCTGGGGTCCGGCTCACACTCTACTGGTCACCAAGGGCGACACCACACTCACAGTGCGCAGCATGCAGGAGGCACCAGCGACACTAAGACAGCTGAATCTCCCACCGGACCTACCGGCTTTACCGACACCAAAGGGCAGGCATACGAACCCACCGACTTGGAGCATGGCCGGCACTGCAGAATTCGTCCCTAGAAGACACACCGGTGTACCTAGAGAAGCAGCCACCACCTGACAATTTTGAAACTGCAGGACTATAACTTACCTTGCCGGGACTCTAGCCTAACATAATGAACTCACTTTGGACTACTGCTCCCAGATGAGCTAACACCCCGCTTTGCGGAGGGTGGCACTCCTTTACCCACCGACATACGCACATCACTCGTTAACACTAGGACCCACTATGGGTGGTCTCACTAGGTAGATGCCGAGCTACCCTTTGCATTCCTGACACCACACAGGCACCCTAAACTACCCGCCCAGTAACCTGGAGCTGACAGTTAACCTCTACTTGGCTCCCCTCATGAGAGCGCTAACCCCCGCGCATGTGACCACGAAGGTCCCTCTTAAGCTACCAACTAGCAGACACTACACGCACCCCCAAGCAATGCAATCACACGGTAGACATGCCTAACCACATAGACATACTCTATGACAGTCCCGTCCAGAAGAACACACCACCCTACCGGCACTAATACAATCCAGCCTTCGATAACCCACCATAACTCACAGTGCATACTTCTCTCACCACTACGGCTGTGTTATGTGTACAAGAAAATATGCGTTAATCTTAGAATGTTGTATAAATTTTTATTTTGGTTACTTGTTCCAATGTTAGACTACACAGTGTAACTTTATTAACCCCTAAGCAACTTAATTATAACTGCATATCGTTCCAACATGTTTCTAACCGAAAAAATTAATAATTGTGCACAGTATTTCCTATGCCATGATACTAACTGTTGTATATCGGTCTCTTACCGCTGTTGTGGCGTAACAGACCTAACTGTCATTATATGCACGAACAAAAATAAAGAATTTAAAAAAAAAAAAAATTGGATAGGTACACACAAGTAAGGAGTAAAAGTGAGGTTTTGCTCAATCTACAGCGCTCAGATCAGGATAAAGTCCATGGGTGTAATAAAATTATGTACTTTATTTGATAAACTAGTATATACGGTTAATAAGATAATAAAAACTGTATAAGCAGTAAAAAAAAAAACAACAACAAAAAACAGGCTTTTTCACAAGTGTTGTGCCAAGTGTCTTTTTCACAAGTGTTCATGCTTCTACTAACAATTTATCAATCTTTCAACACATTTTCTAACTGAAAATTGTGCTGTTTCACTTTTCTTCTTTAAATTTGGCATGCTTAAAATCACTTAAAGGGATACTATAGTCACCAGAACAACTACAGCTTATTGAATTTGTTCTGGTGAGTAGAATCATTACCTTTAGGCTTTTTGCTATAAACACGGTCTTTTCAGAAAAAAAGCAGTGTTTACATTACAGCCTAGTGATAACTTCCCTGGCCACTCCTCAGATGGCTTTTAGAGATCCT